TTTGGAATGATACAAAATGGACAAAGTCTTTCACATTTTGGAATACCTAACTTTCTACCCTGTGATACCATAAAATCACTGCTCGACGGGCGAAATTGTGAGAGAGTAATCCTAAATGCAGCAATATTCACAACACTTAAATAATTTTCATATTCATTTGATAGTTTAATTGATTTATACAAATATAATGAAGATAATTTGTCAAAAGATTCAAAAGGTTATCAATATCAATACATCTTGTTCTAAAAGCGGATATAAATGAATGAATACAAGAAAGTGATTGTCTATTCCAAATTTCACCATATCCAAAGGAAAATAACAGATTTTTAACTTTCAGTGCCCAGCAATCTAGACCCTTTTCTGCCCGGTCATACTGGTACACATACGTGTGATATAATATACTGTTTTCGTTCTGAGTTAATAAACGCAGCCAGTACTTAATGATTTTCAGATGTTGATTTACTTTTAACGAGTATCTCCCAAGTTCAGCTCTTGCTACAATATTAGGAACAGTTCTTCTCAGTTTCAAAATAAGCTTGCAGAATTTATCATGAACATTTAAAATATCTTTAGAGGGATGAAATCCACTTATCTCTGAGCCATATAATAATATGGGCAGTACTTTAACATAAAAAATACGAAGTTACATTTTCAGGGGAAGTTTGTGAAAATTGTACACATGTGATTGTAACAATAATATTACCTTCCAAGCTTGTTGGGATAATATCTTTTGAGTTTTATACCAGGAACCCGAGCTAGAAAAATGTACTCCAAGATATTTATAACTGGGGACTATCCCAAGAGGGCTGCCATTAAGAGAAAACTTTTCATAGCTTTTAAGCCTACCTGCCTTACGAAAAATAATGATTTTACTCTTGGTAGAATTAACCCTTAATTGCCACTTATTGCAATAATCCACAAATTGAACAAAGTTGTAGGTGCGGTCAGAACACTTATTGCATGTGTTCATCCGGCCCTGAGAAATTAGTCTTATTTCCCTGTGAAAATACATTCCATGGCAACAGTAAATATGACCAGGACTACAGTTAAAGAATGTTGTGTCGACCATTTTACATTTTAGGGGGCGGGACTGGTATTTTATCAAATATCTATGCTTCAGACTGAAAATTGTCTGCCACAATAATTACAAAGAAGCCAGGTGTTTTTCTTGAAATATATTCATTCTCACAGTTTTGTATTTTAAAGATACATGTATCTCCTTTTGCAGCTATATAGGTGAAAACAAATATAATCACCGGGTAAAATAAAAATGTCTGTCCTTTTCAAAATGCTGTACATTTCTAATGGAGAATCAAAATCAATTTGTTGATGATGTCCTGTTGTTTTATGTCGTCGCAGATACTGATACTGGTGTCGTCAATGTTGTTGTCGGTGTTGTCAGTGTTGATGATTTTGTGTCAATGTTTCTAGTTTGGTCTTTTGACTCGTGGCATGGATGAAAAATGGCAAGAATTGTATACCACGTTTAGTTTTTGGCGACGATTAGCTTTGTAATAACATCATTTGGAGACAGCACCGTACTGATCTATAGTAAGAGGGTGTATGTGGAAGTGTACACATATATTGCTGGAAACGGGAAAATTGATTTAACCCTCTCCCAACCCACACCACACTCTCTCCACTTTACACCCAACCAACCCCAACCGTAACATTATCTGTTGCAGAGGCCCCAAGCTGCCGTAGCATTATCTGTTACAGAGACCGGTAGCTGCGGTAACTGTATCTGTTACAGAGACCGGTAGCTGTCGTAGCCGTATCTGTTACAGAGCCTGGTAGCTGCCGTAACCGTATCTGTTACAGAGACCGGTAGCTGCCGTAGCCGTATCTGTTACAGAGACAGGTAGCTGTTGTAACCGTATCTGTTACAGAGACATGTAGCTGCTGTAACCGAATCTGTTACAGAGACCGGTAGCTGTCGTAGCCGTATCTGTTACAGAGACATGTAGCTGCTGTAACCGTATCTGTTACAGAGACATGTAGCTGTCGTAGCCGTATCTGTTACAGAGCCTGGTAGCTGCCGTAACCGTATCTGTTACAGAGACAGGTAGCTGTCGTAGCCGTATCTGTAACAGAGACAGGTAGCTGCTGTAGCCGTATCTGTTACAGAGACCGGTAGCTGTCGTAGCCGTATCTGTTACAGAGACAGGTAGCTGCTGTAACCGTATCTGTTACAGATATTGGTTGGAATCATCGAGTGAGATACGGATAGTTTGCCACCATCGCTGCTCGCGTTTTATGTAAAATCGAACGAAAAATATTATTATTTGACAGATTATTATAACCAAATGCAGCAAAGACCATTCGTGTGATCCTGGCATTGTTGTTGTTGTTGTTATTATTATTATTATTGTATGGGGAGTAATATACAGTAAGAGGTAGTTCCGTCATCGTGTGTTCTCATGTTAATTCATGAATATTTTATTTATGTATATAACAAAGTATAGTTCCGACAGCGAGTGTTCTCTAAGGGAAATAACATGTTTTTTTAACGAATACCAGTAAAAAACTCCAAGCATCTGTCAGCAAGGAATATACGAATATGTACCCTACAGCAGATGGTATACATATTGAGTAGTTGTGTATGCTTTGTTAAGAAACAGGGATTGACTAAAGCCAAGTGGCGTGTACAAGTCCACTTGCCAACACTTCCTCGCGTAACACCGGCGGACATTCAACATCCCATCACATCTTCCAGTAGGTTCTCGCTAAAGTATGTTCCCATTGCGTTCAATGCTAATACAGTTTATGGGGAAACAAGAGGGGTATTCCTTATGTGGAACAAGTAAAGTGAAGCCCCATAAAGATCCGGGTTAGAATCGGTCTTCAGCAACCCATGCTTGTCGTAAGAGGCGACTTGGTTGATGCATGTCATCGTATCCCATTTGCGATGCTCATGATATCAATCACTGGATTGTATGGTCCATATAGATGTAATATTGCGGAGTGCGGCGTTAAACAACAAGCAAACAAACAGAACTGTACAGCGAACCCTCTTTAGCCCGGACCTCTTCCGGCCATGCACTATTGATGGGAAAGGACAGTACTCAATGCCAGGTTAAATCCGGCTTCAAATAAGTCCCCAGCAACCTATGCGTGTCGTGAGAGGCAGACAAATCGATCGGGTAGTCAGGTACGATGACTTTGTCAATGGCACGTGTTTGCACCCCGGCGGCGTGGATCGTTGCTCAATTATTTTCAGGTAATATAGCTGAATTACAGTAAACTACGTTTATAAGGAACTAGCGGATATATCGAATTTATGTTTTGACTTGGCCATTTGCTGTATATATGCTTAAAACGAACTACGGTTATAACGAACTAAAAAGTGGTCCCTTTGAGTTCGTTTTAACCGTAGCTTGAGTGCGACCTTAAACAACAAATACACCGTTTATCAGGACATGTGTTAATCTGAACGATTACAGTAGGTAAGGTATAATGGATTGACGTAATGAGTAATAAGTGGATTTTTTTTTAAAACAAAACATATTTTGTACACAAAAATCCTACGCTGGACATACTGGGAGTGTGTTTTGCTTACTTTCCCGTTTTAAGGGTAGGGATGGCATAAGACTGTTCCATTGTGTCCAGGAGCACTTCAGGTAAGAATGTCCATCATGGAAAAGAGATGTTCACTCGCACTTATAAGAACTTATTTCATTTTATTGACGTTGCCACCATACAACAGTTATATGAAATAGATAAACCAACCTTTTTCTCTCTCAGGTTAAGTTGCAAGTCCTTAAGATAGCATAGTTAGCGATATTACATCCATAAAGTCCCCTGTCCTTGCGCTTTGTCAGCAATAAAAAAACACTTCAACTTTAAAAAGTTAAAAAGAAAATGTTGATGTGTATCTTAGACCTCTTATCTTTGAAAAATCAATAGATTTGCCCTTTTTAGGCAGCAAATTACAACATTTCAAACACGGTGGGGGCCATGTGGTTGCAAATCCATTTCTCACCCCTAACTTCTTGAACCAATTTATATTTACACAAAATTACCCAGCAACAGATTACCGTTTACGAACTGTTGCAGTTTAGACATAATCACATTTACAACAGTTTAATTCTCAGTTGCTTTTGCCCTCCTCATATAGTGTATGTGATATTATGGACAGAAGTACAATCCCTAGCCCTTCTACATACTTGTTTGTGTGTGTGTGTGTGTGTGTGTGTGCGTGTGTGTGTGCGTGTGCGAGTGCGTGTGCGTGCGTTGGTGTCCCCCAGGAATGTGGAAGTAATAAAATAATAAAGTCTACGTTAGTCCAACATCTACTTTATCTTGTCCTAAACTGATATAAAGATGTTGGACTATAACGTTGACTTTATTTTAAATATATATATATAATCTATATGCCACCAATACACAAAGGTAATAATAATATTTTATCATAGTTTATCATTAGTATTACCTTTGTGTATTGGTGTCATATAGATTTCACGAATCAGTGTCAGAATTGTTTGTTTTTCCCCTGGGAAATACGTGATTGAAGCCTGACACGAGTGGCCTAAACTCAGTATGATGCTCGTGTAGTGTCATATCATGTCAGCAAACATTTATCAGTTACGTGAACAGCGGTGTCTTCTTTCCGCCAACAATGGCACGGGGTACGTGAAATCAGTATTAGAGGTGTTGCTGAAAAGGACCTTTATTGTCCATATGGATAACAAAATCACGATATTCTCTCCTTTGGATGAAGATATAATTATGAAGTTATAAAATACATACGATATATACTGCCCCGGCACACTGAACAAATATTATTTATATAAAAAAATATAATTAATTCAAAATTTGAAACGTCCAAAGTAATTTATCTCCAGCTTTGCAATATTTAAATCTCACAGTCCCGCGATTACTATGCCTTGACTTTTGACCTTTCCCGTGAGTCAATTCTCATTAGATTGGGTTTTCCTTATCCCGACTCTGCGCTACCATTGTTCATATATATATTCATAGACGGTATCCCAGTGTTCCCCAGGAATCGAAAGTCGGGGAATCCCCGGTTCTTGTTATTTCGTCCCAAATACCAGGAAAATGTAAACGTTTTGTTTCTGAGAACCTTGCGTAGACATTGTTGTGTAGGAGGCAGGGGAAGCATCGACATCTTGTGGTTCGAGAGTCGATACATGTGAGAAGACTTTAGTTAGTACAGCACGATAAGGGAGAACTAGCACAGTAGACAGCTGGTGAACAGGGAAGGAAGTCTATGCTGAGTATATGCTTGGCTGAAACAGCGACATCCATTAACAGGTAAAAACGTAAACAATTGCTGGACGGATTTGTGACGCAGTAACCAGGATACACTGATTATTGTGAACATTCTGTGGATGTGTACTATTACATTCTTTTCAGTGAAATCATCCGTATTTGGTGTTGAATAGTTTGTGTAGATAATTCATTACATTGGATTTACTGTCGTTCAAAACCTACTTATACAGCGCTATACATGGTCACTTGTGCAGTGTATACTTTGGTAGGAAATGCAACATATTCATGCTTGTGTACGAACTTATATTATATATTTAATAATATAGAGGGTAGGTTTCTCAGCTGGATAAATCCCCAAAAAACTATATCATTTGAGATGATTTACTTATACATTTATGCAAATTTTAGGTCAGGTATTTTTGTGTTTACAAAGGAAATGTGCCGTCGTCCTTCTCAGTTGGGTTTGAGTCCGAGTTGACAATTGACCTTGAAAAATTACTGGGATAATTATAATCATCATCATAATTATCCAGAGATTTATCTACGATTCCAAACTAAGTGCCTTTGTCAGGCAAGGGGGGAAGGGAGGGGGGAATTGTGATATTTTCTTTTAATGTTAATTTTCTAATATGTTTTGATTTTGTTCGTTTTTAATTATGTTAATTGAAATTGTGAATTTTTTCTGCTATTTTCTACAGACTTTTGGTCAAATATCAGCTTCTGCTCATGTCTAGATAAATTCCTATACCAGAAAAATAGGTATCTAAAAGGGGCGTAGGTGAGGCCTTTCACAGGTGAAGCGGTCTTTTTCCGAACGAAGAACAGTTGGATTTGGCCGAAATATGTTCGAAACATTTCCGTGTTTAATTTTGTTACTGTGTGGGAAATCTGACTACATTTCATTATGACGTTATGACAGGCCAATCAAACTCTGAACAAATATGGCGCTTCTGGAGAAAAGGGTATAGATTGCTTTTGATAAAGGTCAAGTAATATGGAGGCGGACCAATGGATTGCCGTGAAGGCAATCGGTGACAAAGTTTGAAAATTATCTGTAGGCAATTGTCTGTTCATCTTTCTAGTAGTCATGTCACTGTCAAAAAAGCATAGAGTACATTTTTGCTTAGGAATTTGTCCAGCTAACCATGGTAACCAGGCAATTTATTTACATTCATCTTAATTTGTATTTGACTTGTGATCACAAGACACACACACCTTTTCCAACAAGCTGCATGATTATATCTTGAGATAACACCTTCTTGTGAAACATGTCCCATCCACCACTTTGATGATGAACCAAGGATTATAATCAGTACAAACCACAAATCAGCAGTTTGTGGTGCATCTAAGGGACACAACTCCTCTGCACAATGGAGACAACAGTGCATTGACTCTATTGACCTTTTGGTCATAGCAACAAATAAGCTGCAGACATCAAACAGATGTAGATAAGAACATAATGTTCCATATAAGCTGCATGTCGATGCAAAATATGCTCAATTCACCATGACCTAATTAATTTTGAGTTATTCTGCAATTCATTGTTCTCATTTAGAGCCAAATGGACTACCGATTATGCTGTTGATCACATAGATGTGTGCCTATTTACACACAACAGAGAAATTCTATAAAAGTTATATACAGCAAGTTATAAATAAAATACTAAACTTCCTTTAGTATTTTTTGTTGACAAGAGCTTTTGTGGCTTTATGCCAGGGCATTTCTGGCTGTACACAAAATTATGCTGTAGCTCAAATATCTCGCTTTTAATGCCCTTTTCAATGTGCTTCCATCCAGCCATGAGCTGGTCCATATTGAATGGTTACAGGAAAACCTGATTGTGGAGTAATACTATATGGCTTGAATAAATTACTCTTTCATTAATATCAGTGGAGCATTAACTTCATTCAGTGACTGTAAAATAATAGTCTTCAAATTTACATATAAATATTTTTTTTCGAACTGGACCAGAGTTCAGTGGTGAGGCGTTACCATGGTTACTGTGCAGTAAGCCTTGTGCTCTGGAGGCAGTAACGTTAGTGTCACGTAAGTCCGACTATATCAGTATCTGTCATTAGTTGGTGTTTTAGCGCTTTACATTTTTCTTGTTTTTGTGATAGGCTAGGATTATTTACAACTATTTGTGGAGGAAGTGATGATGTAAATCTTGGTCGGGAATCACGCACAAAGCAGGGATACCTTAAGGTCACATGGGTAGCCATTCTGTGCCCAGAATTTTCAGGGTACCAGGCCAAACTTGGCTCTTTGCACCGGTTTAGTGTACAAAGTAGACAAAAATATCATGGATAACAACTTCTTTAATATACTGTAATAGCAACGTTTGGAATAGATCCTTATGCTGTTTTCAAGCGAGACTGTCTTGCTTGACCATTGTATAGGGATCTATGCCATGTATACTGTTACGTGACTGATTGGTATGGACTCTTGTACCGTTGTCAAGCAGGACTGTCATGCTTGACCAGTGTACATGTATAAGGATCTATACTGTAATGTGACTGATTGGTATGGACCCTTGTACCGTTGTCAAGCAGGACTGTCATGCTTGACCAGTGTACATGTATAAGGATCTATACTGTAATGTGACTGATTGGTATGGACCCTTGTACCATTGTCAAGCAAGACTGTCTTGCTTGACCAATGTACATGGATAAGGATCTATACTGTAATGTGACTGATTGGTATAGACCCTTGTACCGTTGTAAAGCAAGACTGTCTTGCTTGACAAGAGTGTAAGGATCTATAACAAACATCACTATTACAGTATAGTTAAGAAGTTTTCATTCATGATTGTTTTGTCTGCTTTGCCATCCATCAATTTCTAAGAATTGATTATCAAACAATTCAGTTCTAGTGTATACATGGTATGTAGACTAAGACTTATACATTCTGAGTTTGACCAAACAGACTTTTACAGGACTCGGATTCATACTAGTGACGAAAGTAACAGACTGATTAGGTGGGTTGACTTTAGTTGCTGATGGACTATAGCCAGTATTTTAATAGTAATTACAGCCAAGTACAAATTAGATACATTGTTTTGCTGTGATTCAGTATGATTTATGTAAAAATATGTGATATTGAACATATAGATTTCTGTCCCTTTTCGAGAAGTATGTACCCTTAACAAGTTGTTCCCATTGCTTACTGGCTGAAATATTGCCGATGCAATTAATATTGTAACTCAATTACAAAATCACTCTTACTTGAACCTTGCATATTTATTCACAATTACTTTCACTTGCATTTTCTGGAATAATTTCCTGGTTAGGAGGTTGTGTGTATTAATGAATGTGGTTTTGTGGGTTGTTTACACATATTACCATGATTATCATAGTGTTCATATCCCCATATTTATTTCACCTTATGTACTTTGATATTATTGTTAAATATTCTTGAAAGGTGTATCAAAGTTTTATAACTGTTCATTATGTGCTAAGCCAACAGTAATATCAGTAGAATTAGACACAATTTATGGATAGCAATCTCTTTAATTAATGTAAAAGCGATTTTCGGGATCTATACCGAAATGTCGCCTTTACAGTAATTAACCACCATGGAGGTGGTAAATCACCAAGGCTTGCTAACTACAATGTTTATTCCTAATACAGGATATTTACCATCCCTAAACACACTTGCATGATAACCTCTATTTATATACTTAATAAATGATACAAAACATGTTATGATACAAAACACACAAGGGTAATAACTTCTATATCATATAATGTCATTCTTAAAGTAATCATCGTGTAACATTGTTTAACATGTTGAAGACATATTTTCCCTGAAGTAGCTTCAGAAACCAGTATGAATGCAGTGTTTGGGTGAATCTTTCCTAAAGTTCCAAATGACTTGCAGCAATGTTTGTATACATAAACAGACACGTAGAAAAACCCTGTTGTGGTTTAACCTTGACCTACAAAACGAGGGGTCCAAGGGACCCCCAATAATTATTTTCCTGAGTCTTACAGGCAATATGAGGGTCCTGTAAAGTAATAAAATGGTGTAGTGTACTGTATTGTGTGTGCATGAATACCCCACTGAGACACGGCATACTGACTCCGAGCTGACCAGTCCTGCTTTTGCCCCTTCATGCCGAGCGCCAGGCAGGGTAACAACAAGTATCATGTTATTACCTCTTTTGGTATGACGTGGCTGGGGAACGAACCTCCGACCTTCTGCTCTCCGGATAAACCACTCGATGGTTACTTGATATGGGTATCATAGTAGTGTTTTGGGCCTTAAGTTTGCTGTAAAGGTAATGAAATGGTGTAATCATGGTAATGTACTGTATTATAAGATTTGATCATTTCTGTGGAGCTTGAAAGTAGTTCCCACTGGGTGACCTCCTCTGCATATTTATCAGATCGTGATAACAACATTATCTTATTGGTTCCTTACAGTGATCATGACATTATGAATTATATGATACTTGAGTGTCACCAATCTTGATGTTTATATGTTTCTAAAGGTGGTCATAGGTATGGCTGGGTCGGATAACTCAGGACTGCCAACACCTGTGGTTAGTGTAATGATATATAGTTTCGACACCGCAAGTCACAAATGTTCACATTTCTCTGTGACTATTCACGCACTCCTTCTGACTTTTACGTGTATGAGTAAAGATATGTTTTATACGTACCATATGTTTTTATTTATGCTTACGGAACTTTGCACCAAATATGGCTGTCAATGGTGATATGGCGTGGCTCCTTCCATAAGTCCGTCAATGGGGAAATATTGATGGAAGGAATAACTGGGCTACCAGAAGAAAACAAAATTTAAACTTCAGGATATGTAATAAGTCAGAGATCTTGGTTAAGAGCATTTTATCCTCTGCAAAAAAATTTAACATGTATTTTATTACCTAAACGAGTCTCCTGGTGGTAATGAAGGCCGGGAATCAACCAAGCGCTAACGGTGAAGTGACACCAATACACAGGATATTCAAAGTCCTTTTACATGCGCTTCAGTGAGTTTGCCCACGCACGCGAAAAACCGGGTCCTGCGGTAGGAATTGAAAATCCGCATCCCAAAGAGGCCACCCTGACTGATTACAGCTGAAGTACAACGTGTGATATTTGATAGATTTAAAATGGACTGGAATTATGCCATTTTACAACCACAGAGTGCTTCGGGTAAGGGAGGTAATAAGATAAGAATATATTGTATTTTTAAACATGAATACTCTCCAGATGCCTATGCTTCTCACCCTGTGCCCTGATCACACAGGAGTGCACTTCCTAAGTTAAGAAAAGGAGCAGCCCCAATAAACATCGAGCTTGGTCGATACTGTAGCAAGTCTGTAGAAGAGAGAATCTGTTGTAACTCTGTGTGTGGCCTCATCATAGGTGTAGTGTAGAGGTCATAGGTGTAGTGTAGGAGGTCATAGGTGTATTGTAGGAGGTCATGTGTAGTGTAGAGGTCATAGGTGTATTGTAGGAGGTCATGTGTAGTGTAGAGGTCATAGGTGTAGTGTAGGAGGTCATAGGTGTAGTGAAGAGGTCATAGGTGTAGTGTAGGCGGTCGTGTAGTGTAGAGGTCATAGGTGTAGTGTAGAGGTCATAGGTGTAGTGTAGGAGGTCATAGGTGTAGCGTAGAGGTCATAGGTGTAGTGTAGGAGGTCATATGTGTAGTGTAGAGGTCATAGGTGTAGTGTAGAGGTCATAGGTGTAGTGTAGGAGGTCATAGGTGTAGTGTTGGAGGTCATAGGTGTATTGTAGGAGGTCATAGGTGTACTGTAGAGGTCATCTTTGTAAAACAAACAAAATAATACCTAGGGTGCAAACAGAATAATCACTTGCCCCAAATGGTGTAGTCTGTCTTACAGACCCTTATACAAATATAAATCAAATACAGCCCATGCAAGTCTAATGTTTGGCAAGTCTAGAATCCTGCAGTATCTGAAAATGAAGAGAATCACTGGGCTCCCTTTTTATTATATTTTTATTAAGATAACTGAACAACTGTTTTTTCTGTACGATATGTTCATTTCAGAGACTAGATGTTAGTCTACAAATGGTGCATAAGTGTTGTTTATTGTTTCATTAATGACAACCTGTTTATTTCCAATGATAAAAACCAAACTATATTATTATGTTTTTCATAACAACAGATTAATTGACAATATTGTGTAATCTCTATAATTACTGAGTAAATGACTTTAAAAATCTTATTACTTATGTTCAGCACAAACTGCTTCAAAAAAGCAGGTTTCTCTGCATTATTAATGTGTTATGTTTGCTTATGGCTTGTTTGCTTGTTTATGTTTGTGGTTACCCCGGGGGGTAAGTTTGTTTGTTTGTTGTATAATGCCATACTCAGCCATATGATGATGGCCTCTAAATAATCAAGTCTCGAACGGACAATCCAGTGATTGACATCATGTGCATTGATCTACGCAATTGGGCTACATTGCATGTATTGTATATATGGTGATATTGTATATATTATATATATTGCATGCATTGTATATAATATTGTATATATTGTATATATTACATATATTGTATACATTGAATATATTGTATACATTTTATACATTGTATATGTTGTGTATATTATTTATATATTGTATACATTATATATATTGTATACATTGTACATGTTGTATATATTGTAAACATATTGTATATATTGTATATTGAATGTTATATACCACGTGTACATTGCAGACACATAGTGGCGATGTCGTGGCAGGAGATCCGAGAGCAGCTGCAGCAGAACTTGGACCAGCCTCTCAGCAACCAGCTATGCCAGCTGTACAACCAGCTGCACATACCCATGATTGTGCGGCGCAAGTATGCACGCTGGTTCGAGGACAATATCTGGTGAGCGTCTTCCTCATGGATGTTTCTCTGCATGGTTGTGTAGACATGGATTTGCTAAGTTCATAATAACATGACAATGTTTGATAAACATTATCCATTATATTATGAATATATCACTTTAGGCATTAACATAGATACGTGAGACGACAAACTGATTTGGCAACTGGCATCTGCAGCTGCTGCATGTTCAGATGTTTTGAAAAAAATATATTATCATTTTTAGCTCACATTAACAGAATAACTGATGATTATTATCCCCCTCCCCAATGAAGTTGGCGGGAGATATTGATATGGTTTCCGTCCGTCCATGTGTGTGTGCGTAAGTCCCGAAATCGTTTCCGGAGCATAACTCAGAAACCGTTAAATACTTCTCTACGAAACTTTGCATGTCTATGAGACTCATGCTGAACTGGGACCTTTTGCTATTTATGAATTTTAGAAACTTTTTTTTTGTTTTATGTTTCCAGGGCAATAAGTTGGACTTAGGTTCTATATGGGTGGTGTTCGTTTACGGAGAGTAACAAAAAACGTTAAATTCTTACTTACAAAACTTTGCATGTCTACCAGGACCATATTGTTTATTGTTTATGTTTCCATGACAACAAGTTGGATTTAAGTTTTAATATAGGGTGGGTTCACTTATGGAGAAAAACAAATAAACTGTTGAATATTTCCTTGCCAAATACTGCATGTCTATGTATAAAGCACATACTGACCTGGTGCCATTTGATATAAGGAGTTTTAGAAATGTTAGAATTTCCATTGCAGCTATTTTGACATGGGCTAAGGAAATGTTGGGTCAGTTACCTGGTTTGGGACCATAACGTGTTAAAATGGGCAGGGGATATAGATGACTTCGTCGACTATACGCTTGTTATGATGATGGTGTATTGATGGTGTGGTGGGAAATAGTGATGATGATGATGATGATGCAGATGATTATTGTGGTGGCGTATAGAAGGTGTAGTGGTGATGGTGATGATGTGGTTGGATGATGATGATGATGATGATGATGATGATGATGTTCTCCTGATTCAGGCCGGACGTGATAGAGGAGCAGAAGGCATGCCGGCTGTACAAGGAGCTGATGACTTTCATGTCTGATGACATTGAGACCCTGAAGGAGGACCAATATCATGTACTAGAGGCGGTGGAGATCGCCAATGCCAAGACAAAAATCAAGGTCAGTACACAGTGCACAATCCTCAAAGGTGTTGTGTTATGTCTTTTAGTCATTCCAGAACTCACTCACCAACACTCTCTCACTCACCAACACTCTCTAACTCACCAACACTCTCTCACTCACCAACACTCTCTCACACACCAACACTCTCTAACTCACCAACACTCTCTCACTCACCAACACTCTCTCACTCACTCTCTCACTCACCAACACTCTCTCTCACTCACTCTCTCACTCACCAACACTCTCTCTCACTCACCAACACTCTCTCACTCATCAACACTCTCTCAGTCACCAACACTCTCTCACTCACCAACACTCTCTCACTCACCAACACTCTCTCACTCACCAACATTCTCTCACTCACCAACTCTCTCTCACTCACCAACACTCTCCCACTCACCAACACTCTCTCACTCACCAACACTCTCTCACTCACCAACGCTCTCTCACTCACCAACACTCTCTCTCACTCACCAACACTCTCTCACTCACCAACACTCTCTCATTCACCAACACTCTCTCTCACTCACCAACACTCTCTCACTCACCAACACTCTATCACTCACCAACACTCTCTCTCATTCACCAACACTCTCTCTCACTCACCAACACTCTCTCACTCACCAACACTCTCTCTCACTCACCAACACTCTCTCACTCACCAACACTCTATCACTCACCAACACTCTCTCTCATTCACCAACACTCTCTCTCACTCACCAACACTCTCTCACTCACCAACACTCTCTCACTCACCAACGCTCTCTCTCACTCACCAACACTCTCCCACTCACCAACACTCTCTCTCACACACTAACACTCTCTCTCACTCACCAACACTCTCTCTCACTCACCAACACTCTCTCACTCACCAACACTCTCTCTCACTCACCAACACTCTCTCTCACTCACCAACACTCTCTCTCACTCACCAACGTTCTCTCTCACTCACCAACACTCTCTCTCACTCACCAACACTCTCTCACTCACTCTCTCACTCACCAACACTCTCTCTCACTCACCAACACTCTCTCTCTCACTCACCAACACTCTCTCACTCACCAACACTCTCTCTCACTCACCAACACTCTCTCTCACTCACCAACACTCTCTCTCACTCACTAACACTCTCTCTCACTCACCAACACTCTCTCACTCACCAACACTCTCTCACTCACCAACACTCTCTCTCACTCACCAACACTCTCTCTCACTCACCAACACTCTCTCACTCACCAACACTCTCTCTCACTCACCAACACTCTCTCTCACTCACTAACACTCTCTCTCACTCACCAACACTCTCTCACTCACCAACACTCTCTCACTCACCAACACTCTCTCTCACTCACCAACACTCTCTCACTCACCAACACTCTCTCTCACTCACCAACACTCTCTCTCACTCACCAACGTTCTCTCTCACTCACTAACACTCTCTCTCACTCACCAACACTCTCTCACTCACCAACACTCTCTCTCACTCACCAACACTCTCTCTCACTCACCAACACTCTCTCACTCACCAACACTCTCTCACTCACTCTCTCACTCACTCTCTCACTCACCAACACTCTCTCTCACTCACCAACGCTCTCTCTCACTCACTAACACTCTCTCTCACTCACCAACACTCTCTCACTCACCAACACTCTCTCTCACTCACCAACACTCTCTCTCACTCACCAACACTCTCTCTCACTCACCAACACTCTCTCACTCACCAACACTCTCACTCACCAACACTCTCCCACTCACCAACTCACTCACCAACACTCTCTCTCACTCACCAACACTCTCTCACTCACCAACACTCTCTCTCACTCACCAACACTCTCTCACTCACCAACACTCTCTCTCACTCACCAACACTCTCTCTCACTCACCAACACTCTCTCATTCACCAACACTCTCCCACTCACCAACTCACTCACCAACACTCTCTCTCACTCACCAACACTCTCTCACTCACCAACACTCTCTCACTCACCAACACTCTCTCACTCACTCTCTCACTCACTCTCTCACTCACCAACACTCACCAACACTCTCTCTCACTCACCAACACTCTCTCACTCACCAACACTCTCTCTCACTCACCAACACTCTCTCTCACTCACCAACACTCTCTCTCACTCACCAACTCTCTCTCACCAACACTCTCTCTCACTCACCAACACTCTCTCACTCACCAACACTCTCTCTCACTCACCAACACTCTCTCTCACTCACCAACACTCTCTCATTCACCAACACTCTCCCACTCACCAACTCACTCACCAACACTCTCTCTCACTCACCAACACTCTCTCACTCACCAACACTCTCTCACTCACCAACACTCTCTCACTCACTCTCTCACTCACTCTCTCACTCACCAACACTCACCAACACTCTCTCTCACTCACCAACACTCTCTCACTCACCAACACTCTCTCTCACTCACCAACACTCTCTCTCACTCACCAACACTCTCTCTCACTCACCAACACTCTCTCACTCACCAACATTCTCTCTCACTCACCAACACTCTCTCACTCACTCTCTCACTCACCAACACTCTCTCTCACTCACCAACACTCTTTCTCACTCACCAACACTCTCTCACTCACCAACACTCTCTCTCACTCACCAACACTCTCTCTCACTCACCAACACTCTCTCTCACTCACCAACACTCTCTCACTCACCAACACTCTCTCTCACTCACCAACACTCTCTCTCACTCACCAACACTCTCTCACTCACCAACACTCTCTCTCACTCACCAACACTCTCTCTCACTCACCAACACTCTCTCTCACTCACCAACACTCTCTCACTCACCAACACTCTCTCTCACTCACCAACACTCTCTCACTCACTCACTCACCCACTCACTCGTGTGTGGTGAGTAGTTGGGCTAAAAAATTATTTTCACGTTTTGTTGAGATATTTTAAATTTTTAATCATCATTTGACTTTTGCACTTTGATATGGCTCTCAAAATGCAGATTTGGCTATGAAAAACCTTTTCTCCTCTGGAATTGCCAGACTGAGAGATCTGAACTTTGGCATGTGCCAGGTTTTAGTCTACAGTATTTTTTAGAAAATATTTGAATATCAATGCTGACAGCAGTTAAGTGTCTGTTTTTGTTGACAACATATCCAGGTCAGCTCCAGTGCGGGGCACTTTTTAATAAAATATAGTTTCTACCCCTTTTGTCTGTCATTAGCACTTAGTTTCAAAGCCTCCTCCACACATTCATCACCGTAAACTGCTTCATGTGTTTGTGTTGCACTATATTGCCGATGTGATGTAACATTGTAACTCACATATATTACACAGCGTTCCTCCTTCATGGCGAATACATAGAGATGATATGTAGAGTCGCTGTTTTCAGCCAACGAAAGCTACTGTGTCTGAGAGTGGTATTCATGTTAAACTGTGGCATTGTATCTCAGTGAGGTATCTCTATAGAACCTGGGTTAATCCGGACTAATACAAGCAGGCATGTTGCTATTTAAGAGCAATAATCTCAAATATGACGTGAAACCCAATTTCAACTCACGTTCAGATGAGTCTGTACCTGCCAAGATGTTCCAAGATGCACAGGTTCGCCTCAGAGTTGAACGACCCGTGAAGATCCATGGTAGAATAGGTCTTCAGCAACCCATGCTTGCCGTAAAAGGCAACTATGCTTGTCTTAAGAGGCGACTAATGGGATCGGGTGGTCAGGCTCACTGACTTGGTTGATGCATATCAATTGCGTGGATCGATGCTCATGACATCAATCACTGGATTGTCTGGTCCAGACTCGATTATTTACAGATTGTCGTCATATAGCTGGAATATTGCTGAGTGCGTTAAAAAACAAACCAGCCAATCAGAGTTGAACATTTTTCTCTTGCAGGATTCCTTTGGCCAGAACCCAACAGAGTTTCTGAAAGCTGTTACTCATGGACTTGATGACGAGAAGAAGATTATCTCTGGCTACAGAGTAAGTACAGAGGATGGTAATAATCTGGAATTGAGAAATCAAAACAAACAAATAATGGCTTAAAAGCCATTAGCTAGAGGTTCAAAGATAGCTGGAAATACACTCACCGACACAAGAAACACGAATAGTATACATGTTGGTTAATATATGATGAATTAGGCTTAAATAATAAAAGAATTGGTTCTCAGGCAATGTTTTTGAAAATATAGAGCGGGCCGGTGGTGTCTTTTTTCTTCTTTTTTTGCGGGGAGGTGTTCAAACTAGTATGTAACCAATAAACAGTTTTGTAATCAACAAACAACTGTGTACAATCAACCTGGGAGAGGGCCTCCCTACATAAATTTATTCCTTGATGACTAAAGTACTGGAATTCAGTATTTGACTCCTGTTGGACCTAGGATATTTCAAGATATTATTATTTTTTAATGGAAATAAAAAGGAAACGTTCGTTGAACTTTATGATGATGCGGGCAGTGCCTGAGAACGAAGACATTTCTTTTAACCCAATAAATAGTACTTTTAGTCTGGGGAATGTAACGAAAGTTGGTAAATAATATTTACTGTCAATGTTGATTTAATATAACTGACTTGGACTTGGAATATTTAAGGATTTTTGGTTGTTGTTTTTAAAATTGGAAATAAAAATGAAACATGCGGCAAACTTTATGATGATGCAGCCAGTGCCTGAGAACCAAGAATAGTTTTTTTAGCCTTATTCATACTCAAAAGATATTAGATTGGTTTAATGCTCAAATGAACATACTGGTATGTTGTGTGAACTGACACTCATAAACACATCACATGTGATATCACAGATCCATAGCTCAAGATTATGTCAAGTAGCTCATGTAAAGTTTTGAAATCACGTACAACAAATCATGATAAGTATTTTTATGCATACTGAACTAAATGATTTTATATAAAAAATGTTTTATAAAATACAACAGTGAGTTGATTGGGTGAATCAAAATAAATTTTAGAGGAGCTGTATATTATAACTGGTGCCACGATGAAATTCCGGAAATCATGAACTGCTGGACTGACATGAATTTGTCTAAAGTTTTGGTATTTCCCAAGCGAGAGGAAATACAGGAATTTAGGCACGGGTGTCATAAACATAGTATGATCTAAACACAAATGTAATATCCTCTATTTATTGCCAGATAAGATGTCTACATACAGAGACGAATTTTAGTGTTTACCTGTGAGGAAAGCAAGTCGAAACAGCAGCAGAACCACAATTTGTTGATTGATGTCAACAATCTTCAGCTATGATGTCTATGATTTCTAGTGTGACGTCATTTTGACCTCACGTCTAAATAAGATTTGAATAACGTCCAGATGACGGATACAATACACTGTTGTCTTGTAACGTGATATAACCCTAGGGAACATGTGATTTTTATGAACCCTGATATGTTTTCCCTCGTAGGTAATAAAGTGGGTATGAACTTGAGTCAAACAAACCAAAGTCCCCAGCAACCTATGCTTGTCAGAAGAGGTGACTAAATGGATTTGGTGGTTGGGCTTGTTGACTGCATGCCCCGGGTTGAAAAAAAGGGGGGATATAGCGATCAGTATTTTCCGTTTCTAAAGCAGGACTCTAAAACCGTTAAATATTATTTTATTCTGTTTTTTTGTTTCGTTATGATGTTTCATGAAGTTGTTTTCTGTTTCTGGAACAGAACTCCAAAACTGTTTAATATTTCTTGTTGAAACTTGCTGTAGAGATCAGTCTAGTAGTGAACTGAACTGGTGCCTTCTGATGATTGGGGATTTTGTTCTTTCTTAATTTGTTTTTTTAAATTATTTTGATTTTATGACGAAAAGTTTAACTTATACTGAAAATGAGGGTAGTGCTCATTTCCGGAGCAGGACTCTGAAACTGTTAAATATTTCTGGATGAAACTTGCTATACAGATCAGTCTAGTGGTGAACTGGTGCCTTTTGATGATTGGAAATTTTGAAAAATACTGAACAGCATTATATTTTTCTTCTCTTACCGGTAACTGAAGGTATCCAATGGCGATGAACCAAAAGTGGAATATAAGTAGCCAAACTCCATTGCACCAGGGGGATATGTCATCTCCTGGTGGCGCTACGATCGGGCCTAGGAATTCCAGCCTCGTTCGGCAAGGGTGGAAACTAGACTTTTAAAGTCGGTTAACTCCCTTGCCTCGGGATGATGCAGTGCTAAATTAAACTCGCTCACTCACAATAATGAAAATGGTCCCCATAGTCACCCGTAATCCTCATATTAGTGACAAACAACACAAGCAACTTGCATTTGCTTCAAACAAAAATGGTGTCGTCCATTCAAGACAATCTGATAAATAATCAAGATATTTGTAATAAAAACGGATCTTACTTCGCGAAGTGTTTCAAATTTCTTGAGCACCTTGATTAAAAACATAAGGATGCCGGATGTCGGATATTGATTTCGTAAAGTGATTTTGATTGGACAATGCATTGACTTGTTAGTTCAGCCAATACATAATTCCAGCCAAGTTCCGCAAGGGTGGAAATTGGACTTCTATAGTCAGTTAACTCCCTTGCCTTGGGAAGATGAATCATACCTGAATTAAAAGTGCCCCTGTTGTTATGTTCTTGTTTGTTGTTGTAGGTGCAGGTGAAGATGGAGGAGGATGTAGAGGAGGAGGTCCCCGTCATTGATGTCTTCAGCCCTCAACTGGAAGAGTTCAGGAGAGAAATTGAGGTAAACCAACAACCATAACTCTTGCTGCAGGCCACAAACTCCCAAAAGGGGATGGTGTAGGCGAGTGGTTAAAGCTGTAACATGTCATGCAGAATGCCTGGGTTTGATTCCCATATAGGTACAATGTGTGAAACCCATTTCTGGTGTCCCCCACCACGATTCAAAACAGGGTGTGTGCATGCACCTGATCACCCCAACACCCCCAGCCCCCTAAAGCCATGTCATATCATGTGCCCTCATCGCTGTGAGGAAAGAAGTATGGTGATAAATTTTCTTGTTCTCTCTTACACTTGGTGGTATTGGGATGGCCCTGTCATCTAAGTGCCTCAATGTGCAGATTTGCATCTCTTGGGTATGCCAGGCACCTATGATTGTGAGTTTGAATCACAGGTGCACAGGTGGCCCAATCGTCTAAGGCGCTGCAATTCGCTGTGCATATGATTATGGATTCGAATCCTAGTTATGTTCTTAGGTTTGTCAGCACCAAACCCGTGCTCTTGGATTTCACCAAAGTGGTAAACGTCCGAGACCTGCATCAATTCAGGCTTTCCTCCCACATTAATCTAACATGCCGTGATATAACTGGAATACTGTGCAAAGTGGCCTCAGACTCAACCCACAGACTCACCCACCCACCCGCCCGCTCATTCACTCTCACTCTGAGGTCCTGTCATTATGTCCATTCTCTTGTCAGAACCTGGAACAGTTAGCTGAAACAGCCAACAACCATCTCTCCATCGCAAAGCAGAAGAAGGAAGAACTGATAGGTGGGTGCTTTGATAGACCTCATTATCAAACTGTTCCCCTAATGGATGGAATGTAATGACTGTACGGCATTGCACATGTGCATCATTGTGATTTAGCTGCACCATATCTCTGTGCTGCTCCCCAAAACAATTTTGATATTGACTTGTCGCTCCACAGGGCTACAGAATGTCCCACGCTTATCTCTCATGATGAATTGTAATCCCACCAAAACACTATTTCCAAAAACACTTGTCAAATATGTGTACTTATATTTTGATCAGACAACTTACTATGTCCTTAACAGGTTGGAATCTTCTAAAGGGTATGGCTATGAGGCCGCCATAAAAATCTTTGAGGTTTCCAACTCGAAAAGCAAATATATTGTTGCATTCTTTAAAATATTAGTGCTCGTATTTGATCAGGAAGTAATCATGTTGCATGTATGGTTAGCTCACGACACATGCACTTCACTGAAGCATATAAAGTGTGATTCACATTCAGATCAGGGACAGACCGTAGCGACAAGTCAAAATCATAATCGTTCATAGGGACCAGCACAGAAATAGGCATTCCCCCGAAGCAAGGGAGTTAATTGACTATAAAAGTCCAGTTTCCACCCTTCCTGAACTAGGCTGGAATTATGGAATTATTTTGGCTGGACTAATGAGTCTATGCAAAATCGAAAAACGAAATCAACATCTGGTTCTTAAACTGCTGTGCAGATGTAGGTGGATTGCAGGATTTGCAAAGCATGTGTATCGACAACTTAGTGTCAACAGATATTTTCCAAATCTTTCCATTTTTGTAATCAAGGTGCTCACGTAATTTGATGCACTTCGCATAGTAAGAACCGTTTTATTGCAATATAGATCTTGATTATTGATCTGATTTGATCGTCTACGCTATGCTTTAATATTTGAAGCAAATGCAAGTGAAATGAGAGGTGGAATCTGATTGGTCAATAGGAGGGACATAAGCCCAGAAATTCCAGCCTAGTTCGGCAAGGGTGAAAACTGGACTTTTATAGTCAGTTCACTCCCTTGCCTCGGGAAGTTGAGAAATAGGGTTACCGCAGCTACATAGTGAATCACAGTGCTACAAGCAGCATTATCATACTCTCCCGCACCTATTTATCCATTTTTTTTGTTCTCCCGTGATAAAAAATACAATTTAAACAACTTGAACCACAGGGGGCAGAGTTCTATTTTTTGCTCACCATTACTTGGAAACTGGACTTTTATAGTCAGTTCATTCCCTTGCCTCGGGAAAATGAGAAATAGGGTTACTGAAGCTACATAGTGAATCACAGTGCTGTTTGGTCAGCTGATATGACATAGTGCTTCATTGTTGAGAGCAGTACGATATGACGTCATCCATTATTAATGGCATACAGTCCGATATTATCATGACATATGAACAGTTAAGTTACTCTGTGGGGTTGTAATTTCCTAAGTGTGTCTTCATTTCTTTCTTAAAACTGACACTGAGCAATCGTAATAGCTTTTCAAAACTTGAAAATATTGTCACATATTCAACATCGATTAGCAGGGCTCCATGAGCTATGTAATATGTGCACCTGTTCAACAACACACATCTCACAACAGTACGCTAATATCTCCATGAAGTACTGACACAAGTTCTCTATCTATCTAGAGCACAGGCAGATACTCGAGTTCGATAGAATATACACTGCAGATCACTCAAACTCCACCATTCACATTCGAGCAGATTGCACGATTTCATATGAACTGTGCGGGTCGTGCAGTCAAGTGTTTGTTGTTTAAGGTCTGTCATGCTGAAATGTACAAGTTTCATGAGGCACGAGAGTTTAACGCCTATATACTGTATACTTTACAGTAGTTTATCAGCATATACTCCAACTGACCAAACTAGTGACCACCCATTGGATGAAAGTATTTCCTGGAATATGCCTGGAATATTGCTAAAAGCAGCATTATCATACTCTGCTGCTCCTATTTATCCAATTTTGTTGTTCTCCCGTGATAAAAAATACAGTTTAAACAACTTGAACCACAGGGGGCAGAGTTCTATTTTTTGCTCACCAGGACTTACCCACGGATGTATTGCATGGTAGTGTCTGTTGAATGTTTATGTGTCAACATATTTGTTTTCATTTTTCAGAAGAGAAAGAGTTTGACTACTCTCTTATCTTCAATCAAATGGGAAGAACTTTGGACCAAGAAAAGATGTGTATGATCACTGAGAAACAGAATGAGACAAAGCGAATAATCGAGGAGAACATTTTTTCGTTCAATGGCAACAGACAGGTCAGTATTGATACTTTGAGACATTTTCTGACAAGTCCAAAACAAAATAATAGTTTCTGGTTAATTAGCAGCCTATAGTTGATGAAGACTGCCTTCGCTGATTCTTTTGAATTGTCTCATGTCTACCATGCAAAGTTCATTTACTATCCTTTCATGAACTTCATTATGTTCATGCAAATGGCTTAGAGGAACTCTTTTGTCATGAAAAGATCAGAGGTCAAGGTCACTTAAAAGCTTGCAGTTACGAGGGGTGTTCATTAAAGATTTCCCCTAAACCACATAGTGTTATCATATTTGGTTGAAATTTCACATGTGTAATGATACATTGATCTGTGGGTTATGTCTGAATTTGCAGCACCGAACTATTAATCTTACCACTTTTACAGGTGTTATGATTGAGTAGGGTGTGACAATTGAGCCAGTAGAATACCGAGCAGTGTTTAGGTTTTTATATTTGAAAGGTCGCACACCAAAAGAAACTTTCGATGAAATGAAAGCCATTTATGGAGAGGATACCCCATCATATGACGTTGTTAAACACTGGCATCGCCAGTTCAAGGGTGGTCGGACATCTGTGGAAACAGCTGCCATTGCTGGTCGCCCCCATTCAGCCATTGATGAGGACACTATCCATCAACTGGAGACCGCCATTTTGGCAGACCGACGTATAACTGTTCGCCAGTTAGCACAAGATGTCAAGATCAGTGTAGGGTCTGTTGAAAAAATCATCCATGACAATTTGAACATGCATAAGATGTCTGCACGATGGATTCACAGGTTGCACACACCTTTCCAAAAGCAGGAACGAGTCAATTGCTCAAAGGATCTTTTGGACATGTGCCAAAAAAAACAGGCAAATCTTTTTGACAGACTTATCACACAGGATGAAACATCGGTCCATCACTATGATCCTGAGACTAAAGTTCAGTCGATGCAATGGAGTCACCACCCCCAAAGAAGGCACGTGTCTAACCCTCTGCAGGCAAGGTCATGCTCACTGTGTTTTGGGACCAGCAGGGAGTAGTGATGATGGATTTCTTGGCAAAGGGTACCACAATTACAGGAGCTTATTATGCTTCACTGCTGCTGAAATTGTGGGATGCTATCAAGCTTAAGAGGCGTGGCATGCTGACCAAGGGTGTCCGTCTCCTGCAAGACAATGCTCCAGTACACAACTCTCATGTTGCCCAGACAGAAGCGCGGTCCTGTGGCTATGAAATCCTTCCACATGCTCCTTACTCTCCTGACCTTGTACCATCTGACTTCCACCTCTTTCCAACCATGAAGTCATTTTTGAAGGGAAAACGTTTCACAGATGATGAAACACTGATTTCTGAAGTCAAGTCCTGGTTTGAGACGCAAAATGAAGGCTTTTACAAGCGAGGTCTCCATAGTTGCATAAAACGATGGGAGAAGTGTGTAACTCTTGGTGGTTCCTAGGTGGAAAAAAAACTAATACCTATGCCAAGTTTCATCCCACTAGGTCCATCGGAAGTGGGTCAGGGGAAATCTTTAATGAACACCCCTCGTACACTGTATCAAAGTGTATTAATGCATTTGTCATTTTGTTTAGTGTACCCCTTCACAAGGTTGGGGCCCTGTTTGGAAAGATTTGGGTTAAGATTAGTCAACAGTCAAGGTCAAAGGGCTATTGTAGATCATGGTTATGCATTAACCTTGGTTTTTAGAAGTATGAAACTTGATATTGCCATGTGTCTTACAAACTTTGTGTTTCAGTGACATGTCTATCAAAGGTCAAGTCCCATTTTAAGTTAAAACTGATTTTGTATCATCCACTGTGTGTTAAAGGAGACTTGGAACTTGTTACACTGATCAAGTTCAAAGGGTCAGGCTTAAGGGATCAGGTTTAGGGTGTCATAAGTTCATTAAACGTCAACATTCACAAGAAAACAGACACCTCTGATTTGTAAATAGCCAAGTAACCACATCAAAACTTAATATGTTGTTATGTTTAATCTTTACCTACCTACAAGGACATACCAAGGTCAAAGACATAAATGTTTTTTGTGATTCATATTTCAAGTTTCAAATAGGCAGAGTGGTAAACATCTTAGACCTGCATCACTTTGGACTTTCCTCCCTCATTGAGCTGACTATGCTGACATTTCCAATTATAACTAAAAACTCTTCAAAGTGGCATTCAAGTTGTATTTTCAGTTTAAACATTGATTCAATTCCTGATATTTTAAAATGTTTCGATAATTTATGTAATAATGTTCTAAATCAAGAGGTTTCAATTTGTTGTTTGGAATAGTATGTTGAAATGGTTCAATTTTATTTTATCTTCCTTTGAATTTATAAATTCAAATAGATAAACCTCACTTACTCATTGACTGTGATTTGGGGCAGTGGGGTAGCCTAGAGGGTAAAGTAATTGCTCATCAGGCCAAAGACCTGGGTTCAGTCAAGATAAACCCATCTCACTCATCCACTGAGATTTGAGAAACTACTGTGTACACTGTGAAACTTGGTGTTTCAGCTCGTACAGAACATGCTGCGTGTCCAGCTCAGGGGGCTTCAAGTCCTCCACACTCAGATCCTGGAGAAGGTGGCTGAGTTCAAGCACCAACAGAAACTGGCATATGTCCGGGCCGCGGGAAAACCTCGCATAGAACAACTGGAAAAATGGTCAGCTTCCACAATCTCTGCTTAAAGGGGCTTTAAAGAATAAATATGGGATTAAATCATTTATAAAGCATATTAAAACAAGTATCCTTTCTAAAGGCAATATTTGTGACAAAAACAAATGTGAAAACCTATTTCGTATTCCAGAAACTACCGAGAGCTAATGAGCAGAGTTGTCATCACGTGACCTGATGTCAAAGTGTAGAGTAGGCTTGCTGACGATCACTGTTTCTGTATAGTGTTTGGTAGATTACTAGTGTTCGCCATGGCATCAACTCACAATGCCATTGACGAAAACATTGAAGTTTCACTCAATGAACTTACATATATTTGTACATATTGATTTGAGCCAGTGGTTAGTCAAAATACTGTTGAAAACAGTGAGGAAAGCGAGGAAGATCTACCGAATGAATGTGATCAGACTGATGGTTCTTTGTAATTTTTGTACGAGGGTAGTCAGTCATGGATTATCTGTAACAGTGAATGCTAAATGTATTTTTGTAACCAAGTTTCTTTTGTTCATGGACAGATGCCTCAAAATGCAAGAAACACAAAATGGCATGACCACTCAGTTTCCATTTTTCTCCTCGCTGACATCACTTTATTCAAACTTTCCTCCTCGCTAAATCAGCCTTTTTGTTTGGAAATTTTAAGAAATCACACTTGGTACATTTGTTTGATGAACTAGTATACACACACGCCCACACAATACCCAATTTTGCATCTTCAATATGCCAAGAATAACGAAAAATTACTTCATTGTCATGTAGATTAATGCACTGTAAATGAAACAAAATGGTGGAGGTCTCTCCACTATGACGTCACAGCTACAGCTGGGCCTCTAGCTGGTATTTTAATATGCATACGTTTGAAAAAAAGGTTTTCAATGGATCTCCTTTATGCCTCAGTCGAATTTGCTCTATGGCTAGGATACGGCGGCCGTAGCCCCCCGGAATCGAGGGAGACGATGGCCTCAGTTTCGCCCTAGGGCGTATCCCTATCTTTTACATGCCGTAGGGATTATAGCATAGAGTTTTAATTTTTTTAATTTCTAGGTTCGCTGTAGCCATGCGGTAGAGCAGTTCCACATCAATGATATGTCTGGCGCACAGTGGCCTTTCGTTTGCCGTGCGGCTGCCCAAGGGTCTTATGAATTACAATTAACTTTTGCAGACCCCCAAAAAGTTGTGGCAGCATGGTGCAAAACTTGGGAAACTTTGGGAAACTTTGTAATGAAATGTCCTAATGTGTGTGGCTAAGCCCTCCTTATATATATTCCAGGTGTGTAGCGGTCACCCTGCGGCTACCTTGCGTCTGCCTTGGCATTTGTCAAAAACCTATGGCCGCTGCAGGGATGCTCTAAGGTGACCGTGCGTCATCACTTCAAAGGCCTTATAGCAGCCGCAGGTTTTCTTTCTCCACAAATTAAAAATACGCCATGCGGCTACCTAAACACATGTGACTGCTACAGTGTGTGACCGTGGGAATGCTGCGGCGGCCCTATAATGGCTATTGGCCGTAGATATTTTAGACCCCATGGACTGAGGCATTAAGCTCATGTTTTAATGATTAACTGCTGAATAGGGATTTGGGTAAGATATGTCCCCATGCTGGTCATATGAGACTTGGTCGATAGCGTGTCACATACCCCAGTGGTCGGATTGTTGCCCATAATTAGCTTCGATTATTTGCAGGCAACTGTCATATAACTGGAATATTGCTAAGTGCTTTGTCAACAAAGACACAAAAAAAAGACTATATTTTCAATTTCGTCTTTGATGGGCATTTAGAAGCTGACTCATCATTTCAGGTGCGGAAATCTTGGTAACGTGTGCTGGAAGATGTTTCAACTGACCAACAGCCCCGATTTCCGTGAGGTCATCTCAACATCACTACAGTCTGTGGAACAAATGGAACAGTTGGCGCCCTCTATCGCTGCGGAGGATAACGCGGAGGTGGAGACGATGATCATGCAGCTGCGTATGATGTTCAAGAAGCTGCTGGAGGAGTGAGCAATTTAGTTTCATTGTGACTTGAGTGAGAGAGAGAGTTAGGTTTACACTGCAATATTGCAGCCATATCATGGTGTAGGAAGCCAGATATTGGCTTCACACATTGAACTTCGGCTAGCCAACGTTTTAACCACTGCCCTTTTGTGGCTTGAATATCCAGCCTCTTACCTATTTTAGGCCAGGGTGGACTGGAGAGAATAGTGAGGTTTATGAATATAAGTACACAATTTCTTAGAGGGACATAATAAATATGGACAGTTACTTTGTTTTTGAATGTGACATGATGTGGTGGCATAAGTGATGCAGTAGACTAATATCTAGTCTCTGAAATAAAGTTATGTTTAAGATATAATATAAGTAATTATATATGGATCCCTAGAGTATTAAGGAACCCTTCACCCTGAATGGGATGAGTGTTTAAACCCCACTTACTCACTCACTCACTCACTCACTCACTCACTCACTCACTCACAGACTCACTCACTCACTCACTCACTCACTCACTCACTCACTCACTCACTCACTCACTCACACACTCACACACATTCCTGCTTCAATTAGCTGACACACTGAGACACAACTTAAACACTGTAATAGTTTTCATTATGGTGGAGCGGAGATCAAATTATAATAATTAAAGCTGGAATTTGGTACCCAACCAAATGATGAGCTTGTCCTTGTGGATATTTACAATTTAGAACAGTTATTATGTATTTTTGTTAAAGGTTTGGTAAAAGTAGGGGTATTACATTATTTATGTTTATGCACCAGGACCTTCATTGTGACGACGCAGCCCCCAGAAGTGCTAAAGATGGTTGGCGCCAGAAACAAGGGGACAAGCAGGGAGTTCCACGCTTCAGTCAGGTAGGCCGGCAGGGCGATCCATGCTTCAGTCAGGTAGGCCGGCAGGGAGATCCATGCTTCAATCAGGTAGGCCGGCAGGGAGATCCATGCTTCAGTCAGGTAGGCCAGCAGGGAGATCCATGCTTCAGTCAGGTAGGCCGGCAGGGAGATCCATGCTTCAGTCAGGTAGGCCGGCAGGGAGATCCATGCTTCAGCCAGGTAGGCCGGCAGGGAGATCTAGCAATGTTAAAGGCAACTCACTCAAGGCGTGGCTCCCTCTGCATCTCAATCAACTTACACTAAAATATATAAAATGACTTACAAGAACCTCCCTTGTCTCTTGACATACCCTTTGGTCCACATGTTCTACTACATTAGTGGTCTTCTTCCGGTCTGACCACAATTCTTTTTCTTGCAGTATCCTGGCTCTCAGCTACCTACAGATAGAGCAGATTTCCTCAAACGTTGTTGCAAACTTCTTCGCTGAGACAGACATTGGCACTATGCGCAGGAAACAAGTCAGTTGTTCCCTCCAAAACAATGAGGCCCAGTTTAAAACTGCAGGGTCAAGACCAGAGGCTTGTTTCAATGAACTCAAGGTGAAGGACTTTAGTCGCATGAAGGACAACGATGATAGTCGCGTCTCAAAACAGTTTTATCGTGTGACCTTCAGTACCAAGGTCACTCTGCAGAGCGAATGGATCTTTGACCTTGAGGTAGGATCTTGGTTGTAAATGTTGTTATCATGTTTCCTCCAGCAAAGAAGGGGGCACGTTTGGCCCAAGCATGTAATGTGCCGCTATGGTCAATGGTTCAAATCTCTGTTTAGACGGATTTATTGCTAGGTTTGACAGCATCATACATGGGCACGTGGGTTTCGCCAAAGTGGTAAATGTCTGAAACGTGCATCACTCCGGGCATCCTCCCACATTAAGCTGACACGCCCTGATATAACTGGAATAATGTTAGAAGCAGCGTTAAATCCGCCAACCCTTAAGAAACGAAAGATGAAAAAATATTTTGAATTGCACTAGTTTTCTGGGAGGGGTTCTTTCTATGATGATAAATCCTGAACAATTACCTACCTTAGTGAAAATACCCGTCCAATCAATTTTGTGTGAAATAATAATAAGAGTCATTCACTTCTCATCTGAAACTTTGCTGATAAATTGCTTGTAAGAGATGACTTCATGGCTAATGGATTCCTTGTCATCTTATCGCGACGTGTTGGATCATAATGTGTATTACTAGTCTGGTCCAGACTTATTTACAGGGTGCCATCATATAGCTGGAATATTGCTGAATGAAGAAAAAGAACAAAGAAACAAGACTGGTCTTTATCATGCTAAGTTATTCTGAAATAAGCATAATGTAAGTATTCTGAAGATGTCACCTTGCTTTCAGACAATGTCATTACCCATCATCATCAACACGGGGAGCAACCAGGCCTGTGAGGCTCTCGGGTCACTGCTGTGGTACTGCTACAACACTAATGATGTGGTGAGTCACAGAATCACAGAGCAGGTCCCCATCACCCCATGTATGTCTCCCGTGAATCACAGAGTGAGTCCCCAGTACCCCATGTATGTCTCCCTTGAATCACAGAGTGAGTCCCCAGTACCCCATGTATGTCTCCCTTGAATCACAGAACAGGTCCCCATCACCCGAAGTATGTCTCCCTTGAATCACAGAGCAGGTCCCCAGCACCCCATGTATGTCTCCCTTGAATCACAGAGCAGGTCCCCATCACCCCATGTATGTCTCCCTTGAATCACAGAACAGGTCCCCATCACCCCATGTATGTCTCCCTTGAATCACAGAACAGGTCCCCAGTACCCCATGTATGTCTCCCTTGAATCACAGAGCAGGTCCCCATCACCCCATGTATGTCTCCCTTGAATCACAGAGCAGGTCCCCAGCACCCCATGTATGTCTCCCTTGAATCACAGAACAGGTCCCCAGTACCCCATGTATGTCTCCCTTGAATCACAGAGCAGGTCCCCAGTACCCCATGTATGTCTCCCTTGAATCACAGAGCAGGTCCCCATCACCCCATGTATGTCTCCCTTGAATCACAGAGCAGGTCCCCAGTACCCCATGTATGTCTCCCTTGAATCACAGAACAGGTCCCCAGTACCCCATGTATGTCTCCCTTGAATCACAGAGCAGGTCCCCATCACCCCATGTATGTCTCCCTTGAATCACAGAGCAGGTCCCCAGTACCCCATGTATGTCTCCCTTGAATCACAGAACAGGTCCCCAGTACCCCATGTATGTCTCCCTTGAATCACAGAGCAGGTCCCCAGCACCCCATGTATGTCTCCCTTGAATCACAGAACAGGTCCCCAGTAACCCATGTATGTCTCCCTTGAATCACAGAGTGAGTCCCAAGTACCCCATGTATGTCTCCCTTGAATCACAGAACAGGTCCCCAGTACCCCATGTATGTCTCCCTTGAATCACAGAACAGGTCCCCAGTACACCATGTATGTCTCCCTTGAATCACAGAGCAGGTCCCCATCACCCAATGTATGTCTCCCTTGAATCATAGAACAGGTCCCCAGTACCCCATGTATGTCTCCCTTGAATCACAGAACAGGTCCCCAGTACCCCATGTATGTCTCCCTTGAATCATAGAACAGGTCCCCAGTACTCCATGTATGTCTCCCTTGAATCATAGAACAGGTCCCCAGTACCCCATGTATGTCTCCCTTGAATCATAGAACAGGTCCCCAGTACCCCATGTATGTCTCCCTTGAATCACAGAACAGGTCCCCAGTACACCATGTATGTCTCCCTTGAATCACAGAACAGGTCCCCAGTACCCCATGTATGTCTCCCTTGAATCACAGAGTGAGTCCCAAGTACCCCATGTATGTCTCCCTTGAATCACAGAACAGGTCCCCAGTACCCCATGTATGTCTCCCTTGAATCACAGAGTGAGTCCCCAGTACCCCATGTATGTCTCCCTTGAATCACAGAACAGGTCCCCAGTACCCCATATATGTCTCCCTTGAATCACAGAACAGGTCCCCAGTACCCCATGTATGTCTCCCTTGAATCACAGAGTGAGTCCCAAGTACCCCATGTACGTCTCCCTTGAATCACAGAGTGAGTCCCCAGTACACCATGTATGTCTCCCTTGAATCACAGAACAGGTCCCCAGTACCCCATGTATGTCTCCCTTGAATCACAGAGTGAGTCCCCAGTACCCAATGTATGTCTCCCTTGAATCACAGAACAGGTCCCCAGTACCCCATGTATGTCTCCCTTGAATCACAGAACAGGTCCCCAGTACCTCATGTATGTCTCCCTTGAATCACAGAGTGAGTCCCCAGTACCCCATGTATGTCTCCCTTGAATCACTGAGTGAGTCCCCAGTACCCAATGTATGTCTCCCTTGAATCACAGAACAGGTCCCCAGTACCCCACGTATGTTGGAACTTTACCCCAGCTCTATTGCCCTCCCTGTTCCAGTACAACAACTTCCAGCATCCGTTCCCCAACGAGCTGCCCCTGGACAAGGTGCTGGACATGCTGAGCTCCTGCCTCCGGACCATCAGCCCCCGCGACCTGCAGGAGGATGAGCGCAGGTTCCTCGGGGAGAAACTCACAGGTACTTCTCAACCATAACACCTGTAACAGATTGACATTAATATACCTATAATAATATATGATCCATAATTATCTGTCAGGATACTAGCATCTTAGACTATCAGCATTATACATCTATACACATGTGCGGCGTGAGTCCCAGGAAGCCGTCAGCCTGTACAGACGTCACTTAGTATATCAGTAAACAGCGATTAACCAAACACAGCATTTCGTTATGCAGTTCTCAGCTGATACGACAACCTGAGAATATTACAACACCCTGGGTAGCCAGTTGGTTTATAGAGGTTTCGAAAATTGACATGATCAAACTGTTTTGTGCAAGCATTGTTATGTAACTGAAGACGAAACACATGTTATATACCACTGTGTGCTCTACTAAAGTGAGTGTAAATACCCAAAACTGTAAATGATTATCTTTAATCATTACAAACATTATGTGAACAAATGTTTATGACATGTTAAACTTTGCCGTGTTCCTGAATTATATCTTCACAATAAGATAAATCACTTGTTTCTCTTTCCTTAAGAAATAACTCTCTACTATAAAATCGTATGTGTAAACCATTTTTGTACTATGGGTTTGATGGCAAATAAATAAATAAATAAATAAATAAATAAATAAATAAATAAAATTGTGTCTATAAACTTCTCTACCAGCAGGTTATTATTTACAGTGTGTTTACAAACATATTAGCATCGGTGTGTTGAAATGTTAAAAAAAATTGCATTTTAATATTTATGGATAAAAATGGTGAATCTGTTCAATGAGTAGTATCTTTAGCTCACCTGACTGAAGGTGAGCTTATGTTGTGGCCTCCATGTGTCATCTGTCATGCATTGTATATATCTTTTGTTAAATGGCTGTGTTTGTTGACATTTTACACTGTAGACTCCACATCAAGATGAGCTACAAAACCACAGCGCTATTTTAAACCTTTTCTTTGACAGTGGTATGTGCATGTATTCTTGTCAGAGACATGTTTGTATTAATTTTATCAATATACAATGTTTGTAGGCCTGGGATGAGTCCACATTGACTACCTGGGGATCTAACCCCCTGTTACCCTACCCTACCCATGTACCCTGCTGTAGGCTTCAAATGTTGGGTAAAAATTGTCCAATTTGGAATTTTTTACTGGAGCCCTTGGAAAAACTATTTAGATACAAATATATTATGATCGTGCATACACTGAAGTTGACTAAAGCTTTGTCTTTACTCAAACCAAGAAAAAGTCAGAAGGGATGTGTGCATAGCCTGAAAGAAATGGGAACAGTAGTGACTTGCAGTGTAACCATGGAGGTGTTTTTTTTAATGTCTAAACAATATATCACATGACCATGGGTCCCGGTATTCCTGTGGGTAGCTGGTTCCTTCTCAGGACCCACCCAGCCTGAGTACTTGAGTTACCCGTCCCAGCCCAAGTGGTTGAACATGTCCATTGTCTTCCTTGCCAAAACAGCATGCACCTTTTCAGTTCCTTGCACACAATCAGGTCTGGCCAATGTCGGAAATACGTACTTAATGCTGATTTGGTAAAAACATTACTCACTGAGCATGCCCGGTTGACGTCCCATCTGTGGTGTGGCCAAGGTTGCTGATTGGCCCGGTTCCCAGTTTTCTGATTGGCCATAGACATGACCTGTCTGATGTTCAATATTTGGTATTGTTATGATTGAGAATAGTTCCCAGTTTTCTGATTGGCCAAAGACATGACCTGTCTGATGTTCCATATTTGGTATTGTTATGATTGAGAATAGTTCCCAGTTTTCTTATTGGCCATAGACATGACCTGTCTGATGTTCCATATTTGGAATTGTCATGATTGAGAATAGTTTCCCATTTTCTGATTGGCCATAGACATGACCTGTCTGATGTTCCATATTTGGTGTTGTTATGATTGAGAATAGTTACCCATTTTCTGATTGGCCATAGACATGACCTGTCTGATGTTCCATATTTGGTATTGTTATGATTGAGAATAGTTAACCATTTTCTGATTGGTCACAGACATGACCTGTCTGATGTTCCATATTTGGTATTGTTATGATTGAGAATAGTTACCCATTTTCTGATTGGTCACAGACAGCTGCTCTCAAAGTGTATCAGATGTCCCTTATTTGATGTGGCCAAAGTCAAGAAAGGTTTCATGGTTTCTAATTAGGCATAGACATGACCTCATTGAATGTGTCTGTCTGATGTCCCATATTTGGTGTTGTTATAATTGAGAATAGGTACAAAGTTTCTGATTGGCCATAGACTTTGCCTCAAGGAACGTGCATGGCTAACGTCCTGTGTATTGTGTGTGTGTTGCAGGGAAGTCAATCAAGAAGACCAGCCCAGGCCAGGGACCAACCGTCACCTTCTCTCAGTTCTGCGTGGTGAGTCTATCTGTAAGTCACCTTATGGCGAGTATCTTGCTGTTGTCTTAGTAACAAATCTGATGCTACATTTCATGATACAAAATTGGGAACATTTGACTAATAAATGAACTTCTTGTATTCCTGTTACAAATGTTTAGATTTCACACACATTGTATTTTCAATAGTTATGACTTGTACGCGATTAACGAGCTGCTTCTTGACATCAGTGGATGAAGTTTCAATTTGATTTTTTTTTTTTAATTTGAAAAAAATATGTTTAAATTAATATTTAATGTATGACACAAACAAACATAGTATCAACATAAAAGGGTGAGTGAGTGAAAGTGTATTATACACCGATTTTAGCAATATTGCATCAATATGATGTTGGGGACACTACAAATGGGTTTCACATGTTGAATGTGGGGAGTCAAACCCGGGCCTTCGTCATGATGAGCAGACAGGGAACAAATTAAATGCTAATTCAAATAGTTATGTAGGTATTGGTATTATTCTTCGTAAAATAAAATAGTTTTCTGCTTTCTGTTTTGCCATCTTGTCTCACAAGTTACAGAGACTTTCATTGAATTCACTGATGAGTAATAGTTTTAACACTGTGAACCTCTGGCTTACATTAACAGTTCTAAATGAAGTTTTTGCCTTTGAATTCTCATTCTCATAGTTTCTCTCCTGAATTAAGGCTTCTAGTTACTTTTTGTAGGGGGATAAGGAGCCTCAAATGCAGAGTTGCGTCCCTTAGGCATACCACAAACCTTTGAAACCTTGTAGTTTCGAATCCTGGTTCACCCCGAGTATTTTTCAAGGATTGTCGGCACCATACCAGTGCTCATGGGTTTCACCAAAGTGGTAAACGCCTAAGACCACAGGCTTTCCTTCCACATTAAGCTGACACGCCGTGGTATAACTGGAGTACTGTTCAACCTAACTCACTCACTCACTCACTCACTTTTTCTGGGCCTATCTGCAATAGCCAGTATTTTTCAAGGATTGTCGGCACCATACCAGTGCTCATGGGTTTCACCAAAGTGGTAAACGCCTAAGACCACAGGCTTTCCTTCCACATTAAGCTGACACGCCGTGGTATAACTGGAGTACTGTTCAACCTAACTCACTCACTCACTCACGCACTTTTTCTGGGCCTATCTGCAATAGCCAGTCATATGAAAATAAAACCTGTTATCCGACTAAGTACAGTTTGGTAATACCCTCCTTTTCTGTTACTTGGTAGTTACATCCCCTTTCCACACTGCTGTGTGTACTGTAAAAAGACCTGTAAAATGCACAAGAAAATGCTTTTTAATTGGCTCTTATGAAGATTATTTACTTTTTGGTCTGGAAATTGGTCAAGAGGCTATTGTGTTATGGGGTGCCATTGTAAAGCAACACATCAAATTATTACAAAAACAACTATGTTCAAGATCTACTGGAATCGAGAACATGTCTGGTGACACAGATTGTCACTGATTTGTTGAATTGTAGCATCAGATTTGTTTACCTCTTTTGCTTTTTGTTGCGCATAGTTTCTATAGTAAATACAATGTGATTTCTATTGTAGGGTCACTGCATATGTGGTAATAATGTGGAGTAAGTGGATATATGGTAATTAATGTGGAGTAATTGGATATGTGGTAATTAATGTAGAGTAATTAGATATGTGGTAATTAATGTAGAGTAATTAGATATGTGGTAATTAATGTGGAGTAATTGGATATGTGGTAATTAATGTGAAGTAATTAGATATAGGGTAATTAATGTTGAGTAATTGGATATGTGGTAATTAATGTAGAGTAATTAGATATGTGGTAATTAATGTGGAGTAATTGGATATGTGGTAATTAATGTGGAGTAATTAGATATAGGGTAACTAATGTTGAGTAATTGGATATGTGGTAATTAATGTGGATATGTGGTAATTAATGTGGAGTAATTGGATATGTGGTAATTAATGTGGAGTAAGTGGATATATGGTAATTAATGTGGAGTAAGTGGATATATGGTAATTAAATGTGGAATCACATAATCAATCTGTGATTTTTGTCGTTAAGTCATTGGATCACAAAATCAATCTGTGATTTCTGTTGTTAAGTCATTGGATCATAAAATCAGAATCTGCTGCATCTGATGATGTTCTGGTTGAAAATATGCCTAAATTTTATTTAGACACCATGCTCCCTCAGTAAAGTTTTAGTGAAAGCTCCTGACATTTTATGACTGAAACAGATTCGGGCTGCACAGATATTGAAAAAACACAAATCTGTTGAAAGAAACACCAAGCTGGAGCAATTTGGCAGTTATAGCAAGTTGTTCCAACACCATTGTAATTTTTCTGATTTAAGATTCATATCAGTCAAAATGAGTAAATGATGACCCATGTTAGAAAAACTAAATGTTTCAATTTATCACATGACGCCAATTACATTGTAACTTTAGAAATGGGCCTCAGACCTAGGAGCTTAGTCTTCTTCAATGTCATTGCTCTAGGATCTATTTTTCAATATTACTAAATACAAATTTTACAAAAGTCACTGCCTGAGAGCCAATTGTTAAGTGTTTTAACCATGTTTTATATTCTCTGCTACTAATAAATCAGGCTGAATATGTTAGATTAAACTCTCTAACATTGTATGAAGCGGTGCCATTTCGGTGAAGAAATTCTGAGTGTCACGTCCCTATGCCGCCCTACTAATGAAAACCAGCAGAGAGTAACCAAACTATGAAATATGTACACATTTTAATTAGGAATAGCCACACAAATTACAAACAAGACACAATCCCCATTAGATGTGCATCGGAATGATTAAAACCCACCACATTTTCAATGGAGTGAGTGAGTGAGTGAGTTTGGTTTTACGCCGCTTTTAGCAATATTCCAGCAATATCACGGCGGGGGACACCAGAAATGGGCTTCACACATTGTACCCATGTAGGGAATCGAACCCGGGTCTTCGGCATGACGAGCGAATGCTTTAACCACTAGGCTACCCAACCGCCCCAATGGAACCAAACACAGTATAACATGCAGACTGCAACAAACTGGGTGTGTACACATTTGGTTTGCTGCGGCCTCCATGCGGAAAATATGGTGGGTTGTTATCATTATGCACACTTTGTTGGATTTGTGTCTTTTTTATAATTGTTGTGGCAGTTTCTGTTTAATGTGTGTACAGATTCCATTGTTTGGTTACTCTCTGCGGGTTTTCTTTTGGGAATTCTGGGTAGAACAGGTCCCAAATAATCCATGCTTGTTGGAAGAGGTGACACTGAGAAATAGAATAGGTGGCCACCTGGTTCATTGTACATAGGTTCCTTTTACCCTGATGTTTTGATCTCTTTGCTCATACTATCAATCACTGGTTTGCCTTGCCAAGATTGGATGATATGCAGGCAGCTGTGATGTTGCTGGAATATTGCTGACTGTTGTGTTCAGCAGCATTCCTTCATCCACTCTTTGTAAAGACCTTGTGAAGCCATCCCGGAGAGTGGAAGGTTGGTGGTTCGATCCACGGCCACATCATTCTTAAAGATGTTAGAAAGATGGTACTTGTTGTTACCCTGCCTAGTACTTGGCAGTAAGGGGCTAAAACAAGGACTGGTCGGCTTTGAGTCAGTATACTGTGTCTGAGTGGGGTATTAATGTTAAACTGCGGCATAGTATCTCAGTTGGCTATCACTATAAAACCGGCATTAGTCTGGACTACCAGAAGCATATAAGTGCAATAATCATGATAATCTATAAACACGACATTAAACCCTTTTTCCTCACCTCACCTCACCTCACCCTCGCCTCACATCCCATCGCATCGCATCGCATCCCATCACATCCCATCACATCCCATCCCATCGCATTGCATCACATCACATCACATCGCTTAGCATCGCATTGCATCACATCACATCACATCAATTGGCATCAATTCGCATCACATCACATCACATCACATCACATCACATCACATCACTTCACAATACCTACTTAATATTATGTCAAAGCTTATAAGCAATTCAGAGTTGTTGTGAGTGAATGGGTGCCATTTAATTTAGAAGACAGGAATAGTCCAGGTATATCCACAGCAACCTGGAACTGATTGAGTCTGGACCAGGCAAACCATTGACTGAAAACTTGAGCAATATCCCCTGCTATCAGGGCCTGACACCACACAGTCGGCCAAATCATCTGTTCCAAATTTAATCAGCTGTCATTGTGTTCAACATGATTGTGTCGCATCACTTAAATTCTGCTGTAGCATGATTCATGCAACACTAGCAGGTCGCCAAACAGCAATATAGTTCTCACTTGTAGCACACAGATTCACAATATAAAAACATTATCCACATTGATAGTATGAATTAAATTTCAGAATGATCATAGAATATTGACCACAAAGTATATGAATAAACTGGGGAAGTTTGAGGTCAGAATAGGTCCCCATTCCCCAGTACCCCTTGCTTGTCTTCCCGTGGAGATTTGAGGTCAGAATAGGTCCCCAGTACCCCTTGCTAGTCTCCCCGTGGAGATTTGAGGTCAGAATAGGTCCCCAGTACCCCTTGCTTGTCTCCCTGGGGAAGTTTGAGGTCAGAATAGGTCCCCATTCCCCAGTACCCCTTGCTTGTCTTCCCGTGGAGATTTGAGGTCAGAATAGGTCCCCATTCCCCAGTACCCCTTGCTTGTCTCCCTGGGGAATTTTGAGGTCAGAATAGGTCCCCATTCCCCAGTACCCCTTGCTTGTCTTCCCGTGGAGATTTGAGGTCAGAATAGGTCCCCAGTACCCCTTGCTAGTCTCCCCTTGGAGATTTGAGTTCAGAATAGGTCCCCAGTACCCCTTGCTTGTCTCCCTGGGGAAGTTTGAGGTCAGAATAGGTCCCCATTCCCCAGTACCCCTTGCTTGTCTTCCCGTGGAGATTTGAGGTCAGAATAGGTCCCCAGTACCCCTTGCTTGTCTCCCTGGGGAAGTTTGAGGTCAGAATAGGTCCCCATTCCCCAGTACCCCTTGCTTGTCTCCCCATGGAGATTTGAGGTCAGAATAGGTCCCCAGTACCCCTTGCTTGTCTCCCTGTGGATTTTTGAGGTCAGAATAGGTCCCCAGTATCCCATGCTTGTCTCCCTGTGGAGATTTGAGGTCAGAATAGGTCCCCAGTATCCAATGCTTGTCTCCCTGTGGAGATTTGAGGTTAGAATAGGTCCCCAGTACCCCTTGCTTGTCTCCCTGGGGAAGTTTGAGGTTAGAATAGGTCCTCAGTATCCCTTGCTTGTCTCCCTGGGGAAGTTTGAGGTTAGAATAGGTCCTCAGTATCCCACGCTTGTCTCACTGTGGAGATTTGAGGTCAGAATAGGTCCCCAGTATCCCATGCTTGTCTCCCCTTGGAGATTTGAGGTCAGAATAGGTCCCCAGTACCCCTTGCTTGTCTCCCTGTGGAGATTTGAGGTCAGAATAGGTCCCCAGTACCCCTTGCTTGTCTCCCTGTGGAGATTTGAGGTCAGAATAGGTCCTCAGTATCCCATGCTTGTCTCCCTGTGGAGATTTGAGGTCAGAATAGGTCCCCAGTATCCCATGCTTGTCTCCCCTTGGAGATTTGAGGTCAGAATAGGTCCCCAGTACCCCTTGCTTGTCTCCCCTTGGAGATTTGAGGTCAGAATAGGTCCCCAGTATCCCATGCTTGTCTCCCCTTGGAGATTTGAGGTCAGAATAGGTCCCCAGTACCCCTTGCTTGTCTCCCTGTGGAGATTTGAGGTCAGAATAGGTCCTCAGTATCCCATGCTTGTCCCCCTGTGGAGATTTGAGGTTAGAATAGGTCCCCATTCCCCAGTATCCCATGCTTGTCCCCCTGTGGAGATTTGAGGTTAGAATAGGTCCCCATTCCCCAGTATCCCATGCTTGTCCCCCTGTGGAGATTTGAGGTTAGAATAGGTCCCCATTCCCCAGTATCCCATGCTTGTCCCCCTGTGGAGATTTGAGGTTAGAATAGGTCCCCATTCCCCAGTATCCCATGCTTGTCTCCCTGTGGAGATTTGAGGTCAGAATAGGTCCCCAGTATCCGAGTTACCTTCTTGCTCTGACAGTTAGATTCCTAATTTAGATAGATAGATAGATAGATAGATAGATAGATAGATAGATAGATAGATAGATAATAACCTATAGATTCATAACAACCTAACCCAGACACAGCCATGTTGATGTGAGAGGGAAACCAACTCGTGCTTAGATTCCATCAACAATATTTCTCAGCTGCATGTGTCGTAGTCTTGCGACCATGTGTTCTATACATTGTGTCAGAATCAGGCAAGGTTCGAACGAAGTTCATTTCATTTAATAGTGGTCATTTGATTTCATTAAAAACATACTCATTTCATCATCTGACTAAAATACACATTGCAAAATGGTCACATGTATTCAAAGATATTGGCGGAACATTGTATTTTCAAAACCTTTTCTCAGTATTGACGATGTATACAATCTTTCTAAAACTTGTTGAATGATGTGCTCTTTCACTTTCTGTGTCAACTTCATCTGAATTCTATCTTACATCAGCTGTTACTATTTCACTGATTGTTGCTATGCATTGTTTGGTGTACATCCGTTGTGTGGGTATCTGTTCCTAGGATATACTGTACTTACATCACCTTGTTTTATACAGGGAGCAATTCAGATACACATAAAATATTTCCATAAAAAGTAATAGAATAAAATCATGACAACCCTATTTTAACTCCTTAAGATTGTTTGTAATTGGCATTGTATTTTGGTAGTCTTTCAATATCTTTTCAAAGTTTTGTTACTCTTGTCGGGTATTTATCTAGACCTGCTCAGAGACCAATATCCAGCTTCAAGTCTGCAACAAATCTTAGTACAAATTCTCAAATTGGAATTATAAATTCATGTAATAACTAATGCCGTATTCGACGTAATAAGCGCCCACTGTGATATTTGCTAATATATTGGCTAGTGAACAATCCCAATTAGCCCCCCTTCCGATTTATCAATGTACACAAGACTTATTTATTCGTGTATAATACGCACTCTGTGTTATATGCACCCTTAATTATGGGCATTATATTCTGGAAAAATGTATCTGTCGTACACAGTTCAGACTGTCAGCATAAACCACAAAATTTATCTTTCAACTCTTTTTTCCACCAAAGTAATATTCTAATAAGAGCCCCCTATTTCTAATTTTGAGAGCACCCAGGGCGCTTATTATGTCGAATACAGTAACTAAATTTCACTGAATTTCACTGAATTCAGGACCAGTAAACAGGAAGTCTACTTAATATTTAGTTTTATATTATTGCATTGAGTGCATTCTCAGAATACAGGGTTAAAAATATGAAATTTAAAAAATTCTAAGTTTGAACAAAATAAAGATGTTTCCCAAATTCCATGTCAGGGGCAGTTGGCGTAGAATCCCCTGACTATACAGTTCCTGGTTAGTTGCCATGGAGACGTGATGCCTGATAAGATGTCCTTGTATTGCAGAGTAAGATGAACATCAACAAAGATAAGAATGTGGAATTCTCCTTCTGGAAGTGGTTCCAAGCTGTCATCAACCTCATAGAGAAGTTTCTCCTGGAACCCTGGAAGGATGGGTACGAACAGGATACACTTGTTGCATGAGGAGTTTTCACATTTCTGGTGTTATTGGGTAAAATAAGATAGCTATGTGATAAATTGCAAAGAACAATGAAGAACGGAGCGTGGTTTGTTTCACAATAAAACATTGTTCCCTCGTGACGTCATTTCTGGCGATTCAAATATGCACTCGCAACTTGATTACGTTTTATATAATCGATGTTAATTTTGAGAGGGAAGTGTCTAGTAAGTTGTTCCCCATAGAACAAACGCATCCAAAAGTGGGAGAGATATGACAATCGGTATTGGGAGAAGAGGTACAGATAATCGACGTGAGGGTTGTGAGATTATGCGAGAAATACCAAACTTAACCCACCTGTTTATAAAATGGACTTGTTCGACATTGCAGAGGTCGGATTCTATTCAGGGAGTCTATACAGGTAACTTTTTATAAAGCTTGTACATTTTATCAACGTCCTTCAATGTTGATATCTCATTTTAGAAATAAATGACTTGTGGTCCTTGTTTATCGGACCATATAACTCTGCAGGGAGAATAAACCACTCGGGGCGCGTTGTTTCTTAATTCAATGCCCAGAAAAGATCTTTGTAACCAACAGCATTAACGTCAAGTAAGACTGACATTTAGTCCCAGAAATATATTTATGTTATTTAAAAATATATATCTACAAAATTAAAACATTAAAATCCAAATGGAGCCCAGAACAATCCTTAATCGCCTATAGGTGAGGCAATCGAGACTTGCCATATCATTCTAGATTTGAGTTGGACTCCTTTTTCAATTTATTCTCTGGGTTTGGGAGACACGAGCATCAGTTACTAATGAGTGTGTGCCTGTTATGTTTTTCACAGTACTTTGCTGTTCGCAAATCTTTCCAGATTTACAGTACTCAATAACACCTGCAAATCTGAAAACACAAACTGTTTATAACCATTGTTAAAATACAAAACTGAGAGATCAGTCATTTATTACAGGAGTGAGTGGGTCAGAGGTTGCACTGTGCTGTAATGTACTGCTACCGTAATTGTGACCCTCCCCTGCTGCTTGTATTTAGGGTTGACCCTCCCCATGTCCTTGGACATTTTTTTCAATGCCGTTCCCTGAAAAGACAAAATGCAAAAGCACTTTATATTTTAGCGTAAGATGCCCAGTTTTTCATGACCTTCTCCAAATATGAGTATTATTATACCCATATAGGAATTGGTGCTATCCATCCATCCGTCCGTAACGTTTTGTTTCCCAAGCAGAACTCAAAAACCCCGAGAGATATCTTAACCAATCTTTGCAAATAGATAGGTCTAGTGGTGAACTGGTTTGGGATTTTTGAAGTTTCCATAGCAACGACTTTGACTTAGACTGAAAATGGTGGTAGTGCTCATTTCCAGAGCAAATCTTGTAAAACATACAAGATACTCTTGCCTTGCACAAAACCGGACATATTGGTAAGGGATGTGAGTATTTCATGCTTGTTTTGTATGACCCTCTCCTAGAGATTTTTTGGCAACCCTCTCACCCCTACAATAAAATTAGCTTTCATTTTGGAGACTTGAAACCGATTTCCAATATACTAATTTATCGTTGTCGGTTTTTTAAGTTTGAAGTCAGTTTTGAATTCAGTAAGGTGAGCTTCTTGCCCTTTGACACTCTTTGAACATTCATAAAAAGTCTTCACAGGAACATGAAGTTGAATCTTTTTTTCGAATTTGAAGTTACCGAGGCAAGGGAGTTAACTGACAATAAAAATCCAGTTTCCACCCTTGCCGAACTAGGCTGTAATTATGGAGTAATGTTCTGGCTGGACTAATGAGTCGATGCATAGTCCAACCAAAATCGCATAACGAAATCAACATTCGGTTAGACGTTTAGATTTCGGTCGACTGCAGGATTTGCAAAGCATGTGTACCGTCAATTTAACATCAACATATATTTTCCAAATCTTTTCATGTTTTTAATCAAGGTGCTCACATGGTTTCGTGCACTTCGCGAAGTAAGGCCCGTTTTATCACAATATAAATCTTGATTATCAATTGGACCGTCTTGACTGGGCAAACAAATGCAAGTGACATGAGAGGTGGAATCTGATTGGTCAATAGGAGGGACATAACTTGTAATAGCCACTGGCGGCGCTACAATTGAACCTAGTAAATCCTGCCTAATTTAGCAAGGATGGAAACTGGACTTTTATAGTCAGTAAACTCCCTTGCCTCGAGTAGTTGAGAATTTTAAAGACTTCTAGCTAACATGCAAAATCCAAATGTTTGACCAGTTTGCCAATATGTTGCAGTAAAATCAAGGGTTTTGTGAGCAAGACCAGTGTACGGAAGAAGTTGATGAACCAGAGACACGGGACCTTCCTCATCCGATTCTCCGAGTCGTGTGTGAACGGCGACCATCAAGGAGTCACAGGAGGAATTGTTGTGGCCCTCAAATATGAAGGTTAGCTTTGACTCTACTTCTATATACACCAAAGATCCGGGGTAGAATTGGTCTTCAGCAACCCATGCTTGTCGGAAAAGGCGACTAACAGGATTGGGTTGTCAGGCTTGTTGACTTGATTGATGCATGTCATCGTATCCCAATTGATGTTTGTCACTGGATTATCTGCTCCAGATTTTATTATTTCCTGACCGCTGTCATATAGCTAGAATGTCTCTGAGTGCAGTTTTAAACAACAAACAAATAACAGGGGTCTTTGCCCAAACCATTGTACGACTTGAACACAGAAATACAATACTTATCTAATTTCTTTTCTTTGTTTTTTGGTAATACCGTATTTTCTTGAGTATAGTGCTCACTTTTTTTCCAAAAAACACAGCTGTGTAGAAGGGGGTGTGCATTATACATGAAATTATGAGTTTTGATGCTTTTTTCCCCATGGAAAGATATTACCCTGGGCACGTAACACCGGAAATACCATGTCAACAAATCCATACTGAAGAACGCAAATTAATCATGTAATTACACTGTCTGGCTATAAAAAGTGTTCTTTATATATCTGGACTTATGTATGTAACTTATTTTCGCTGAAGGGGTAGATCTACGGTGTAATTTTTTTCTGTGTTTGACGTTCAAATTTTTTTTCTCCAAAATACTGAATCCGCTAGAGGGGGGTGCGCATTATACTCAAGAAAATACGGTAAACATGTTCTTTCATTCTGGAATATGTTTCTACAATTCTGCACACTGATATTTTAATGGCTAATGGCTTACATATATCTTATTACGTATATGTCTATATATAGTTCGTTTGTTCAGGTAAGTTTTTTCCTTGTCTTAATAGACTTTCTCGAGTATTATGTATGTGGGGTTTGTGAGCTCTATCATTGTACCCCAATGGTGTGGACCGTAGCTCACAATATCAATCACTGGATTGTCTGGTCCAGGCTCAATTATTTATAGGCCGCCACATATAGCTGGAATATGCTGAGTGCAGCTTTAAACAACAGACGAACAAAATATTTTGGGGTCAGTTATTTTTCAGGCATGTCAGTTTGGTGAGCATTCAACAACTTTAGCCTCAATTTTGATGCCCAATTCGAATAGCATTTAATTTAGTAATCATGATAATAATAGTCCATATATTAACACTGAAATCTATTGAAAGTGATGCCAAAATCAGGCTAATAGTCTCAAAAGTTTTTGGTACAGACAGGGTAGGAAAATTTCAAGATTCGGATTAAATACCCAATAATATTTGGGAATTGACATCAAGCATGATTGGTCATCGAATTAGTCAGTCTTTGTTAACAATAGGTCATGTAAGTTCAAATGTTGTTTACAGACACAGTGACGTTTTCTCCACCTCGAACGGAGGTACATCTTTCAAAGAACAGTCTGGCGGACATCTTGAGGTCATTCATCAACCAGAAGAAAAACGGAGAAGCCTTGTTACAAACTCTCTTCCCCCACAACAAAGATCGTGAGGCATCATTCAAGAAATACAACACAGTTCAAGGTGTGTACAACTCTAAGTCTCATTGTTAAGTCTTTGGGTCTTCTACAGCCTCTAAGTCTTGTTGAACAGTCTAGGTCTTGTTGTACAGCCGCTAGGTAGTGTTGTACAGCCTCTTTATCATGTTTAACAGCCTCTAGATCTTGTTGGGGATTATTTATAAAAATAATCAAGCCCAAAATTTACTGAAAAGAAATAATAGGCCATTTTCTTTCTGATTAGTGCTCAAGAATACAGTGGGTTATTTTTTATGGATTTTGACTGTGGTTGCTTGAATCTATACCCTGAAAATGAAGTGTCACATGAACTGAAACCTTTCATTGTTCCTGTGTCAGTTGAGAAGAAGAACCAGCAATACAACTCAGGCTACCCAGGCTGGATCACACTCATGGGTCTAGATCTCAGCTTCAGGTGAGCTGCTGACTTGAGGGACTGGTCTTTTATTAATTATAGCACTGCATCATATTTTGCCAACATCCCTCCATTTCATGTGACATTTTTTAATGACACCCCCACCCCCCCACCACACCCACACCCAAACCCATCCCCCCCACCCACCCACATATTAAAGGACAAGTCCCTAAAAGGTGATCAAATTTATTAAAAGAAATATTGGCAAAAATAGAACTGGTTATTTGCATTTGTGATAAATTTTGTTTGAACCAGATGCAAGTAATATGAGAGGTCAAATCTGATTGGTCAATAGGAAGGACATAGAAGGCACATAACATGTAATAGCCACTGGTGGGGTTGTCACGCTACAAAATTCCAGCCTAGTTCGGCAAGGGTGGAAACTTGATTTTTATAGTCAGTTAACTTAAGATGAACTGCTGTGGTATAGCTGAACTACTGTTCAAGGCAGCGTGACACACAACTCTTTTCAATTCCAGTGGCATGAACATCAGTGAGCCTCAGAACCCCTACGGTGGCGATGGTGGCGACTTGGACATCTGGACGGTGACGTCAACATGCCAGAGCCCAGGGCGACACACATCCCGGGGTGGGCCGAATAGGGTCAAGAAGCGACGATGTGACGATTCTCCTGGGAGTAGCACATCCATGCAGGACAGCGTTAACCAGGCATCCACAGTGTTCTATCAGAACGGATTCTCGGGCAGTGATAGCTCCAGCAGCAGTGGCGGAAACATCCCTCGGTTTCTGTCTGCTTCATCAAGCCAGCCGACGACCTACAACCCAAACTCTCACCTGCAGGTATGGAGGAAGGTTGATGTAATCTATTGATAGTCTTTTTGCAGTGTTTTATAACAATCCTTTTGTATTATGGGGCCTTCATTTCACAGGATAAGGCACCGGTCATCTATAATGGGGGTGAGATGGTTGGGTCAGATGAAATCAGAGCATGGTCACCAAACCATATCACAGACTCTAGGGAAGGGTCATAAAAAATAATACACATATTTGGGGAGGTTCATGAGAAAATATATCTTTGCATTTTGTCAATTCCGGGGGGATCATGATAAAAATGTACTTGGACACAGGGAGGGTCATCCCAAAATATGACAAGCATGAGGGAGGGTCAATATTTTCAGTTCATTACTGCATCAAAAACCTGAACCATCCTGCACAAATTTAAATTAATGACTGGTCCCTAACCTTTCAGCAAGGTCTTTCTCCAGAATATTCCTCTATCCTATGGATATTTTATAGAAAGTCCCTCTGTCTCAGGGATATTCTAATGAAATCGTGGGGGTCGGGTAGCCTAGTTTAAGCATTCGCTCGATACGCCGAAGACCTGGGTTTGATTCCCGACATGGGTACAATGTGTGAAGCCCATTTCTGGTGTCCCCCGCCGTGATATTGCTGGAATATTGCTAAAAGCGGCATAAAACCATACTCACTCACTCTAATGAAATCCCTGCAGACCGAGGGATATTCTATAGAATGGCCCTTGCTGGACATTTGTTTTGCATTTGAAAACAATCTATATACGGAAATATGTGGAATGATGCAAAATCAAACAACAAAATTAATGTCTTTCATATATTTCATTGTATCAAACTTTCAACCTCTGTATCTGTTGCCTAGTGAGTGAGCCATGAGGCTACAGAGGCGCTGATAAGTTACCACAATGTTTTTAAGAACCTCTTTTCAATGTTTACGCATATATAAATACAATTTTTTTATAAGACTCAGAAACCATTTTTTCAATTTGTTTTTTGTAAAAATATATGTAACTATGAGAAAGTGTCAGACAGTCAACAAAATTTCTTTTATTTTGCCAGCAAACATACTTCTCCCATTTGACATGTACTTACATATGAGCATGTGTGTGAGTGAGTGAGTTGGGTTTGACCCTGCTTTAACAGTATTCCAATCATATCACAGCATGTCAGCTTCATGTGGGAGGAAAGCCCGATGTGATGCAAGTCTCAGACGTTGAATACTTTACCCACGAGCACGGGTATAGTGCTGATAAAGCAAATCATAAGTGGGATTCAAACCCATGGTCATAGGTAGCTGGCATGCCCAGGGGACGCAACTCTGCTCTATGACCGTCTTAAGTCTGTGTTAAAGTATGTGAGTGACAATCATCGTAGCGCTAAGATCGCTTCATGGAAGAGGTTACTGACCATTTAATATTCTGATGAAGGGAGGGTTTGAGATGTGCCTGAATTTAATAGGCTTGTCAACCACACTCTGAACATCATTTGCTTGATAACAACGTTAGACCCTACACCGAAATGTCGCTCCTAATTGTAATAAAGAAGTTCATTCATATGTCTTATCCTCACTTGGTTTGAGATGTTAGATTGCAAGATATTTTGGGGGACACCGCTTCAAACAATTTTCTATCGAATACGTCCAACCCAAAAAAATAGAAAAATAAAAAAAATATATAAAAAAATAATTAATTTTTTTAATTTTTTTTAAATTAATATTTTTTACATCTGACACAAAGATATTTCTTCTGCTATTTAATATTTGGAACAAACTTATTTTACCCCTACCCAGAATTTACGATCGTCAGTCCCTAAACCAAATATACTATGATCATAATAACCTGTTACTTAAATGATACAGATTTGTATATAAACTGACTACATCTACATGTTAAGTTCTTCTTCAATTGCAGAAAGATGTTCAGCAATTCTGTAACAATTTTGGAATGCCTCAAGCAGGAACCACTTCGACCATCAGTAGCAACGTGACCACCTGGTCAGCTGCTATGCATGTGCCGTGTACTAGTCCAGAGTCGGTAGGTACAAGTTGTAGTTTCAAGCCACAGTTTCAGAACTGTAGTCCTTTATACAAATTCTATTATTAAACATACACACTGTCTTGATACAACTAGAATATGCCACACAAAAAAACAATTAAAAAAAATGTAATTAAAATGCAGATTATATATATAAGCATACACACGTACAGAGATACCAAGGGATGAAACTCTTTCCAGATCAGAATCAGTGATATTAATGTAATTATTAGTAGTATAAAAGCAAATTATTTATTTGATTACCTCTTTGGATTTTGAATTAAATTCTTTTAATTATTTAGATGCATCACCTCGTCAAGAAAGGTCAAAATGCCCTGATTAAATTCAGTGATATTGCTGGAAAATTGCTGAAACCGGTGTAAAACCATATTCACTCACTCACTCACTCACTCACTCACTCACTCACTCACTCACTCGATTGTGTTTCAAGGTTTGTCAGCACCATATCCATGCTAGTGGGTTCCACCAAATGGTAAACGTCTAAGGCCTCTGCATCACTTAGGATTTCCTCCCACTGTCAGCTGATACTCTGCGATATAACTGAAATATTGTTCATAGCCTCATTAAACCATAGTGAATCACCTCCTCACTATGTGTTCAAAGGTTCAAACGGAAACTTGACCTATATGTCCTTCGTTTGTACAATATCGTAAGTTGATCCAGTTTTTGATGGGTCATACCGCCAGTCAAAAGATGGGGAGATGTTCCCTTATCAATTTCACGAACCAAAGTGGTTTTATTAGAAAAGAAACTTTCTTAGTAAAAGATAGTCTAAAATGGAATCCTGCTTGTTTGATTTGAACATTTAACCCTTACGCTAATGCGTAACCAATAGCTGACCAATAGCCTAATGATTGTCTAATGTCGACTTCCTGTTAGTCGTTTCATGGGTCGTTCAAAGTTTTACAAAATGTTCTTCTGACATGATGTGCAATGAAATGTCATCAGAACTTTGTGTAGCAGCAGTGAGCACTAAGATGTGATTTTAATGAGATTGCCTGAAACAAAATGTTTAATGCACCAATTCCCGTGAATACATCGGGCCAATTTGCGATTGATATTTTTTAACGAACAAATGAAGACATGGCCATGTTCCAGCATGAGGAAAAACACTGAGTATTCAGACCAATGAGTGCTCAGATTTTTTTACACACCTGTGAGTGAGAAACCCTTTTGTAATAACTGGTATGAAACGTGTGATCTCGAATTCCAGGTCAGTGATTTGGCTCCACCATGGTGATGACATCAGATCAGATTATGACAGATTTCTTTCCAGATTATATTTCATCGACAAGTTCTCATACTTCAATCAAATTCACCTATGTCTAGTTCAAAAATGTTTTGGTTTTAGAGTGTTTATTAAATGTTTTTGATCTCATCAAGTTTAAATCACATAAATCTAAAAATAGACACGTCAACACCACAAGGCCGACATATTGATTCAAGGGTGATGGTTACAACAAGCCTGGGTGGCACGGATGGCCCAGTCGTCTTAGGTGCCGCAATTCGCTGTGCAGAGTTGCGCCCCTTGGGCAGGCCAGAAACCTATGATTGTGGGTTTGAATCCCGGTTCGCCCCGATTATGTTTCTAGGTTTGTCAGCACCATACTCACTCACTACAACAAGCCTGTGAGGTATTGTGTTTGATCTCACACAAACAATATAGTGCTATGGTTTTGGAAAATGAATTCAAATTTTCATGTTCCATTTTCCAGGCCACCCCAAGTCAGAGTCCCTCATCAACTATGTCAGATTATGAACACAATCTGTCTCCTGATCTCGTTGACATTCAGCCATCACTCCCAATGAGTGCCTTTAACCATACTCAAGGTCAAGGTCAAGCAGGCCCTAGCAACAGCCAATCAGGTTTCTTGGAATTACTTCACAATGGCACCTTGGAAGAAGCACCATGGTCAGTGGAGATAGGTCTTGTTGATTGAGGGAATGTGTTGTTTTGCGGTTTCTTTTATGTAGAAGTTGTCCAATGCTCATCAGTGAACTACAAACTGGAAAGTCTTCAATTGCAAGTTTTGAAAATCAATAATGCACTATCACAGGATGCTAAAATATGAAAGGCATCATTGTACATAATTCAAGGAACTTATTAGGATGAGCATATCACGCTATTCCATTGATATAATGTAATGTTACTGATAGCGTTTGATTTGTTTGTTGTAGATATCTGGTAATATGATTTGGTAAATTTATAATATTTTGTAAATTTACATAATTTTTTAACCTTGAGGTGATTTTAAGTTTCTGGGAAAAAAACATTGTGCATAAATGATAGGTGAACTTTGCAAGATGAAAAAAGCTCTCATTTCTGTTTATATCATGTCATGTTACTGTTAGGTTTTGATTTGTTTGTTGTAGATAGTATTGTTTTATTAAATCCCGGGTGTTTTTCAACCCCATATACCGGTGCCTTTGTCATGAACATGACTGAACGTTAATGATCTTTGTTGATATGATTTCTATGGAATTCATACAAATTTGTTAATAATTTTTATGTTTTTACTGATTTTATTTATCAATCTGTAATCAGACAAAAACAATTGTTTTCAGGGTTGATGTCAACATATTTGGAATGTACGTAAAAGTTGCAAACAAGTAAAGCATTTTTAATTTCATTTTTATCCCCCCGGCATATAATGCAGGGGGGATACAGTCAACGCCTTGTCTGTCTGTCTGTCTGTCTGTCCATCCGTCTTGGGTGGATTTCGTTCCCGGAGCACAACTAAAAAAACGATCAATATCAACAAAACTTGGCAGATATATCAAACAGATCATGAAGTGGTGCCTTTTGTTTCCATGGCAACAAGTTTGATTTTGACTCTGTTCATAGTGGTGTGTACTTTACTTAGAAATACAAAGTTCCGAGGGGCTGTCGGGTAGCCTTGTGGGTAAAGTGATTACTTGTCACGCCGAAGACACAGGTTCGATTTCCCACATGGGTTCAATGAGTGAAGCCCATTTCTGGTATCCCTGCCTTGATATTGCTGGAATATTGCTAAAAGCGGCGTAAAATCGAACTCACTCACTCACAAAGTTCCGAATCCCAATTCCATGGTATTATTTTGATAGCTCAATAACTACTCTTGATACGGACAGACAGATTAGATAGAAATTCTCTCACCAAGACTTGTAGGTTGTAAAACTCAAGTTTACAGATAATATTATATTTGAAAGATCTGCTTCAAGATTGGTAGGTATGAATGTTTGCTCAAGCCTCCCTGTACTTGAGGGTAGAGCGTCCGCCCGGAGAGCGGAAGGTCCGGGGTTCGATCCCCGGCCGCGTCATACCAAAAGACGTTAAAAGATGGTACTTGTTGTTACCCTGTCTGGCGCTCGACATTAAGGGGCTAAAACAAGGACTGGTCGGCTCGGAGTCAGTATACTGTGTCTGAGTGGGGTATTCATGTTAAACTGCTGCATGGTATCTCAGTGAGCTAGCACTATAAATCGGCATCAGTCCGGACTAGTACAAGCAGCCACACACACACATACACGTGCATGCACGTCGCTATATAAGTGCAATAATCTTGGACGCGACGTAAAACCCAATTTCACCTCACCTCACCTGTACTTGAGCATGCTTAGATGATATTATATAAATGCTTTCAAAGGAATTAGAATATTTTGTGGTGCATCTGCATGCATTTCAAAACACTGATACATAAGCACATTGAAAAAATGAGAACCAATTCTATTTTCCTTTTTGTTGAAGACTTCTGTTTCCATTCACAAAGTTCAAACAAGATTTAACTACGCAGAAATGCTTTAAATGAGCATTCTTTCGTATCTTTGACCACAGTAGTTTGATAATTTTTGTCAGTTTTCTTTTCACTGATGGTAAGATCTACCGTAATAGTGTGTGAATTACATTCCTGCAATGAAAGGTGTAAACCAGAGATTTGCATTTTGTTTTATGCATTCTTATTTACCGTATTCGACGTAATAAGCACCCCGCTCGTGAGCAATCCCAATTAGCACCCTTTTGGATTGATCAATGTACACAATACTTATTTATTCGCGCTCGTGTGTTATATGCACCCTTAAATTCTGGAAAAATATATCTCTCGTATATAAACGTTTCAGGCTGTCAGCATAAACCACGAAATTTATCTTTCAACTCTCTTTTTTTTCCGACAAAATAATATTCTAATAAGAGCCCCCTATTTCTAATTTTGAGAGCGCCCTGGACGCTTATTACGTCAAATACGGTAATTGTTGCAATAAAATATTCCTCTCTTTTTTCAGTTTTGATAATGAACTGACTTTATGTTAAATCACATTGCACTTTAGAATATTTCATCCAGTTTGATACCCCTGTGCACCAACCACTGATGAAGTGACGAACTTTGATCGCCCAATGAAAATATAAGAACTGTGGGTATTGATCCAATGAGATGTCAGCTTTGTAAAACAATTCTGTTTCACTATATTCTGAAATGTCTGTTATTGTAGTTATCTTATAGTTGTTAGTGTTTGTTTTGGCTGGGAATACTGCCATGCAGGTTACCAGTATGTTGTGTAAATATGCAGTGTATAGAACAACTGTGTTTCTGTGGAATGTGAATAGGCAGTTACTTTGAAGTTGTTGTTTTGTGTTTTGTTTTGGGGGGTTTTTTTTGGTTTTTTATTTTTGCAGAGTATTTACATACTTTTTGATATCAATGTATTCAAAGAAATAAAAAGTGCATGACAGCTTGACCAAAGATTATTAAAGTAATCTCCATTCCAATTAATGACGGAAGCATAATTTGTTAACTTATAAAATTCCGTGAGCTCCTTCTGTATAAATTGGAATCTGGTGGATAGATATTATTCCTTTAAGTTGAAAATGATTCATTTAGACAAAATAATGATAATGTTATGTTGTTTTGTTGTTTTTGTTATGGGATCAAAACAATTATAAGGGAGTAATCATTACATGCTGTAAACTAGTGTGTGGGGATCATTAATTTCATCAAATGATGGATCAGGCGTGTAGTAGAGTCCTGGCTGCTATTTGTCTTGACAGAGCGTGTCATTGATTAGAGGCAGGCATGTATTGGAGCCCTGGCATCTAATGGAGGAAATGCGGTGTTTGTTCTTGGAAATATACATCAACCCTGAAATCATTTTTGTTTAAAAACTCAAAACAATTTTCTCCAGTTTCTTGGCATTTTTACCAATGAAGTCTGTGAAAGAATTGGATAACATTGTATGACTAAATAACAACATGAAATAAGTTAAAAACTTGTTACGTGAATGCTGTTACAAAAGAAAGTGTTTTTAACATAAATTGCCTTATATTAACATATCAACATGCGTCTAATGCTTTAAAAATGAATATTTTATATAATTGTTTTAATATGCTAAATATAGAGGTGTTTCATATTTAAGTTGCTTGATTTTTGTATGAATTTTGAAATATGATTAATAATTAAATGTTTTCTGTACAGTGTTGTAGTATTTATGTTGGACAGATAATCCCCACTGTGTCAACGCTTGATCTGTTATTTGTTTACAGTTATTTCAAGTTGTATCATCCTTCCACATGTCACGTCATTAGGGACGTGGGAAGGTCGGGTAGCCTAGTGGTTAAAGTGTTCGCTCGTCACGCCGAAGACCCGGGTTCGATTCCCGACATGGGTACAATGTGTGAAGCCCACTTCTGGTGTCCCCCGCTGTGAAATTGCTGGAATATTGCTTAAAGCAGCGTAAAACCCAGCGTAAAATCTGAGGATAAAATATATATGTCTGCGACAAATAATTATTTTCATAAATACCTTCCTCCCTGAAAATTCAAATGGTCAGTCTTTAATTGAATGAAATATTTTTACTTGTAAAATATTGATTCTCATATTGAAACGACAACAATGTTTATATACTTCATTCCATGGTTTTGTCACCCTTACAACTTCCATTTGGAAGCTGATTTCCTTTGTTTTGTACACTTCATATCAGATATGAATTTTAAAAATTAAAGGCTTGGACGCAGGAAACTGACGTGTTTTTTCCCCTACTAAGAGAATTGCATGCAACCCTTTTTTGTTGTACGAGACAACTGAAAGGAGTCAGGCTCGGTGATTCTTTGAGTGTCATCGTACCATGCTGGTATGGGATGTTGCACATTTACTGGTTTGTCTGGTCCAAACTTGAGAAGCAACATTGCCGTCATGGAGCTGGAATGTTGCTGAGTGCATTGTTAAACGAACAAAAAAAGATTAAAATGACAGGACAGACACAGGAGACACTCAGACACGGGACTCTCACACACTCTCTGGTCTCTGTGCCAAATCACACCCAATGATATAGTTTTTTACAATAACTGTCTTGCTTTTTATAACTTCTAAAATTGCCCTCGAGTGCGGAACATCTGGGGTTCAGTCCCCGGCCGTGTCATACCAAAAGACGTTAAGAGATGGTACTTGTTGTTACCCTGCCTGGTGCTCGTCATTAAGTTGCGTAAGCAAGGACTGGTCGGCTCCGAGTCAGTATACTGTGTCTGAGTGGGGTATTCATGTTAAATTGCGGCATGGTATCTCAGTGGGCTAGGACTAAAATGGGCATCAGTACAGACTGGATGCACGTTCTATATAAGTGCAACAATCTTGGACGTAACGTCAAACCCCGTTTCACCTCAACTTACATTATGAAACAGCATTTTTTAGTCAGGTATTGTTTTTGCTCTGGTTTTAGTCTTGTCTCTACACAAGGTTTTTTTGTTTGTTTTTTTGTTTAACGCCGCACCATACAATCCAGTGATTGACATGAGCATCAATCCATGCAACTGGGATACGATGACATGCATCAACCAAGTCAGGGTGTCTGACCACCTGATCCCATTAGTCGCCTATTACGACAAGCATAGTCACCTTTTACAGCAAGTATGGGTTGCTGAAGACCTTTTCTACCCCGCATTTTCACGGGTCCTCTACACAAGGGAACCTAACTCGTCACTTCATACTTCGAGCTGGAGTTGGCATATGATCAGGTGGAACATCAGAATCAAGTTACACACACACCAATTAAATGTATTCTTTTACATATTTTATGAGACAATGTATGACAAGAGAGAAGGTTAGAAATGGAATTGGTGTCTGCGCTGAAATATTATATTGGTTTGGTCTCATCTAGGAAAGGGTGGTGGGTTAGCTCATGGTTAAAGTGTTTGCTCGTCACGTGGAAGGCTCGGGTTTGATTCCCAATGTACAATGTATGAAGCCCATTTCTGGTGTCCCTCGATGTGATGGAATATTGCTAAAAGCAGCATAAAACTGTACTCACTCACTATCTAGGAATAATATATGAAGCACCACACTCATGCAATTACTTTACTGAATCAGGTAGGTCATCCGAATACAGCATCAGTTGCCAGGGCCGTACCGGAACTTTCTCTTGAGGTTCATGTTTCCTTTCTTTGTTTGGATCTCAATTGTCGGACGACTTTGACGACGTACATTGATGTCATGTTTGCCTAGTTTGCCTTTGTAACCCCCTTTTATTGGTTTCACATCAGTCGGTTTCAATCTGAAAAAGTCTTTCCGTGCTTGCCTGTAACTGCCTGATGGGTTTGTGTACTGACGAGTGACCCACTTCCCACTCCTGGAGGTTTTGACTGGTACACGCTGAAGTTTTTGTAGATTTTTCTGGCCACCTTGAATGCAGTTGGTGCATACCTCACAAGGGCAAACCACCTCTTGCGTTCTGTCTTCTTGCTTGACAGATATCGACTTGCCACTTGAAGATCTAGGGACATAAGTTTGATTGTGAAAGAATCATGATTAAATGGCACTGTTTTACAGAAAAACCAACAAGACAAGGAAGAACTTGATAACAGAAGAAGAAACAGCTGACTAGTGCCACAGCACTGTAGCTCACCTGGATATGTTGTCAACAGTCCAAATGTAAACAAAGACCGACTCTTAAACCCAGTTGCTGAACAAATATCAAATTTGATTACAAAATGACATAAATTGATTGTTTAAAATGGCTGCTCTGGCAGATTGGATTTGGACCTCTTGAACCAATTGGAGTGTCATCATTGGTTGGTACAAGCATGTGAGTTTCATCTTCATTGGTCCAGTGGTTCCTGAGAAGCTCATGTTTTCAGTGTGAGAAAATATAGGAGCATGGTCAAAGTGTAAAGGTCAAAATTTTGAATCGTGAAACTACACATGTAGCAAATTTCATTACATTTTGAACAAAAGTCGGTTTAGAGTAAGTAATCTGTAAGTAATTGAGTCTGTACCAGACAATCCAGTGATTTATATCAGGAATATCAATTCACGCAATTGGGACATGATGACATGCATCAACCAAGTCAGCGAGCCTGACAACAAGCATGGGTTGCAGAAGCCTATTCTAACCCGGATCTTCAGGGGTTGGTAAGACCAATGATGTATGGTGTTCTGTATTTTCCAATTTGGCCAGAACTTTAAAGTATGGTGATAATATCAACCCTAAATGTTAGACTTGAATCCATAGAATTCATCAGGCCATTTCTGAATAAAAAAATGATCCATATACATATAATTTTCACTGCTATTTTGCCTTTCATGCCCAGTGGAATCTGATTCGGGGGGTATAGGAAACAGCAGGAGCCAGTGTATGTTTAAAACTATGGGTCTGAGGACATTCTGAGTGAACCATGTGGACCATGTGAACCTTGTCCTTTGGAGACCATTCATAT